TAAGTCACCTTAGCTAAAGTGACCCCAACCTGTTTCTTCACTCATTTCTCATCAGGACGGCCAGCGTTAAGGGGATAGGATCTGGGTGAACATCCACCCCCATCTCTGCTGATCCAGAGTTGACTCTGGAAACCTAGCTTGGATCTGGCTATTGGGAGGTGTGTTTACCCTCCGAAGTAGAATTTGCATTTTGGTCGCCTCGCCCCCCACCCTAGATGACATATGTGTTCAGGGGGCGTCAACTAGACAAAGGCCAGTTGATACTTCTGTGTCAAGCTCTTTTTGTTTGAACTTTGGGGCCCTCGCGGGGCCTTAAATCAGGCCAAAACAGCTTTGGGGACTGGAATTTTTTTTTAAGGGAATGCCATTTCCGGTTCCAAGATAAAGTCATTCTTAAGAAAGGTCTGCCTTTTGAGACAAGGGACAAACGCCAGGGCCTGTTCACCAACAGGGGCTGGCTTGCTCACACCCATGGCTTTAGTATGTCCCTCATTCCACGTGCCCACCCGCTGCACACACAATGCACAGCCTCCCCATCAACATCCGCCGCCAGAGCGGGACATCTGTGACAATGGATGAACCTGCACCGACACATCGTCGTCACCCAGAGGCCACAGCTGACCTTCGAGCTCACCTTGGAGTTGTCCATTCTACGGATTTAGGCAAATGTGGAATGACAGGTACCCATTATGAGAGCATCGTACAGACTGTTGTCATTGCCCTAAAACCCTCTGTGATACGCCTCTTCGTCCCCTCCTCCCCAGCCAGCCCTCCCCTCGCCCAGAAAAACGCTGGTTTTTGCATTGTCATCAGAGTTCGCCTTTTCCCAGGGTGTCGTATAGTTGGGACCATACAGTATGTGGCCTTTTCAGATCGGCGTCTTTCACTGAGTTATATGCATTTCAAGTTCTTCCGTGTCTTTCCTGGCTTGACAGCTCATTCTTTTCTCGAGCTAAAAAATATTCCATTGTCTGAACAGTTTATTTATCCATCACCTACTTCACTCTTTTGTTAAGCACTGTATGACTTTTTTGATAGTGTGACAGAGTATCCTGATTTATGTTTTTTGAGTTCAGATGTCCACATCGGAGAGTTTATTTATGACAATATTTATCTATGCTCGGTCTTATAAACTCCATCTAAATTTATCTACTTGACCTAAGCCAGTTTGGCCGGTCAGCAATGTGATGAGGTCCCTTACGTAAATGTGGGTGGTTTCCAGTGACAAGAGGACTTGGAGGCTCTGTGTCCCTCCCCTAGAACTCCCTGCAAGGTCATTACCATAAAAGCAAGTCTCCTCCCAAGGTCTGCCAGCTATGCTCGGTCTTATAAACTCCATCTAAATTTATCTACTTGACCTAAGCCAGTTTGGCCGGTCAGCAATGTGATGAGGTCCCTTACGTAAATGTGGGTGGTTTCCAGTGACAAGAGGACTTGGAGGCTCTGTGTCCCTCCCCTAGAACTCCCTGCAAGGTCATTACCATAAAAGCAAGTCTCTTCCCAAGTTCTGCCCCAAAGTGGTCACATAGCCTGTCCCTGCGAGCTCGGGAGGGGCCGCTCTTGGTCGTCCGGCCCCGACACGGACACCTGGCATGAGGAGCTCTCTCCGGGGCATGTGGCGGACACTGGCTTGGGGGTGGGGCACAGATGGGAAGGAATCGGGACAGGAAGAGGCTCCTGGCTCCCAGGGGTCGCACTGTCCTCCCTGAAGCAGAGGTCATTAGAAACGCAGGGACCACTCTAGACGGCAGAGTTTTAGATGGAAATAGAGAAAGTGGAGTGACCCAGGAGCCGGCCGGAATGGCCGGGGACCTCCTCGCTCGTCAGAGGGAGGAGAGGACCAGCGCCGGTTCACCCAGCTCGACTCCCGAGTCTGACGCGAACCGAGCCGCTTTCATAGCCCGTTTCTAGCGACACAACGTTCTGGCCTCGTCTGGTACATTCCCTACCCCAGACTCCAAAGCGCTGCTCGTGTGGACGAGCCGTAGTTTCTTTCCGTGGAGAAGAGCATTTAGGGCCCACGGCCTGGCTGTTACATGTGCTCCCTAAATGACCGGATGGGTCCTTGTCTCCAGGCCTTTTCGGTGGAGAGATTATGATTTCACACAGATCCTTCCAGGTATAAATCGGGAGGACTGCAGGGTTTTGACTTAACCTTATCTTAAAATTTATATCTTCATTCTTCCATGCCAAACATCCAGGTTAATGACACCAAAACAGTTACCGGTTTATCCCTTAACTACCAACACTGATTACTGACTTTTAACTTGTACTTTTGTAGCTTTTTTGTTTCTGTATATTCCACTGGGAATATTCAAATTACTGTGCTTTAAAGTCACTTAGACTAGTTCCTGTGGTGACATCACCAACTGGAGATACAGTTCGCTGGTTCCATTTTACTTTCAATTTTCAGGGGTTTCTTTCTTTTAAATGCGATTTTGTTTTCTAATTATGTGAGCTAGTCACATAGGTAAGGATTCCAAAATCGAATCAATCAAAAGGTGGAAGCAGAGACGTCCAGCGTCGGGCCCTGCCGCCCGAGCGCCCCCTCCTCCTCCCCCACGATGTTTTTATTTCATGGCTTAGGGTCCTGCTGTTCCCCACTTACTTACCTGTTTATACTGGTTTTCGGAGGGTTCTATTTTCGCTGGAATAATTACCGTACACATCCTCATCTAACACCCTCAGTCGTTCCGTCTTTGGCTCCTGTCTGTTAGTTCTCTGCTATGATCAGGACTGAAATTGGCCAGTAAAAACTTCTCTCTCCATCCGCCCTACATCCGATAGAAACTTCGCTTTACTTCCAGTTAATAATTATGTCAATCGGCAAATAGATTCTCTTCGTGTAGACTTTCTAGCCTCTGAGTTTTTTCCGGTCCTTATGTTGACCTCTCCAATCTTTTTGGTCGTCTGCGGATTCCTCGGATGGGTTCATTGGAACAATACTCCCCGAGGACGCGCATGCTCAGACAAGCTTCTTTGCGGCCTTCGCACCTCAGAGCTCCTTGCCAGGGACACCAAGGGGACAGGGGCAGAACACGTGTGCCTTTCAGCTTCTGGCCTCATTCTTTGTTCACTGGGAACCGACAGACTTCTGAGGGCGTCTCTGCACCCCGAGGCGCTCCGGGCGGCTCAGCCCATAATAACGCCCACCCCTGCCCCCACCACACCACAGCAGGTCACTTCTACAGACCTGCACCCTGGCCTGTGGCGCCCAGGTCCAGCCTTGGGGTGGAGCAGGCTCTCTAAGTCCTCGGTCCCTTCATTGTCCCATCTAAGGGGGAGCTAGCTGTTCATTCATTATATTAAATCTTCCCTCTTCTGCCAGCGTCTGTTCATGGAACGCAAAGGCCCTGTGCGCCGTGCCTCACGTGTGCTCCTCTGACGTGGCTCATTTTCTGGCTTTAGAAAAACACGAAACTTGTGAGGTGCCTCTCGTCAGATGCGGGCAGCTGCGTCTGAGGCCTGTCGCGTCCCGTGTCCTTGGTGCCGCCCTGGCTACAGCGGTCCCCTCGGCACGGTCACTCACTCTCCGTGACTTACAACTGCACTTGTGAAAAATCTAACATTTCTTTTCTTCTGATCCCCACGTTACAGTGAGGTAAAAAAAAAATATTTACATTCTGTGAAGAAGTCAAGTTTTTAGATTGTTTAAAGCAATTTTTAAAAATTGTAAAAATTTTTAAAAATTTTTAAAAATTGTAAAAAGCTTTAAAAGAAAAAAACTGCAACTCTGAAAAGCTACTTGTAAATTCTTGAACAATCTCCATATGCCGTCTGTTCACCAGGAGGGCGACCAAACGTCCAGGCAAACGACCACCTCAAATAAGGTAGTCTAGTGTCCAGACGGAATATACAGCATCTCAGTGAGGAAAAACTAAACACTCTTTGGATAACAGCAAAACATTCCTCCTAACTTTGGGAACACTCACTAACGTTTATTGGCATGATGGCCAATCTGCCGGCACCACGCGGCCAAACCGCTCCCAGGCTCTCGGAAAAACAGCCTCAGACGGTCAGACCAGCACCGCCATTCTGGAGGCCGTGTGCGGGGACCAAGGGCTGGTGCACGTCACTTGCCCCGTCCGCCTGGTGGCCTGGCTGCCCTCGGAGGGACCAGAGGCGCCCGAGGCCGCCTCCCCTGGAGAAGACGCCAAGCAGGAGGTGCTGCTCCCAGCCAGGCTCAGGAGTGACCGCAGCCTGCTGGTCAACAGCTTCCACTACGATAGACGACTGGATAAAGCAGCCATGGTGCACGTGCACGATGGAACGCCACTCAGCCACAGGAAGACATGAAGTACTGCCATTTGTGACAACCTGGATGGACCTCGAGATAATCATGCTAAGCGAAATAAGCCAGACAGAAAGAGTTGAAAACCACGTGGTATCACTTACATGTGGGATAGAAACCTAAAAGCAACAAACAAACAGACTCGTGGACATGGACAATAGACTAGTGGTCACCAGAGGGTAGAGGGTGGAGGAGGAGGCAGGCAGACGGGGTGAAAGGGGTCAAATATGGGGTGACAGAAAGAAATCTAACTATGAGAGGTGAACACACAGTGTAAATATATATATGCCTTACTGTTAAAATGTACGGATGAAACTTATTGGATTTCGTTAACCAACGTCACCATAAATTAATTAATTAATTAATTTTAAAAAAAAAGAAAAAGAGTTTCCAGCAAAGAAAAACATCAGCTGGTTCTGAACTGCCCCTCCCCCGGGACCCTGCAGCACCCGTAAGCAGACTGTTTCCCTCGACCGGATCACCCCCTGGTGCCTTCAAGGCTCACAAGGACACCGTGAGCGGGTCACTGAACAGGCCCCCTGGACCCACTGGTTACGCGGAACATCCAGCAGAATAAAACTCGCAGGCCCGTGCGGGTGGTTAATGACAAGCTGTAATTGGTGCCACGGTTTAGAGAGAACTCTTTTAACATTAAAATGTGTTCTTTGTGCACTGACGGCATGGGCACATCTTCCGAGTTTTCCTTTCTCTACATTTTCCTCCTTAGAACGAAGAAATCTGAAAGTCCTATCATGCCATTCTTTCTAGATTCTCTAAATGGGAAACAGATAAAGACACTTATTAGTAATTTCTCATAGCATACAATAGTCTTTATGAAACAACACGATTCAGCATAATTTAACTTGAATACCACCTTAAATGCAACATAATTTAAAAGTTTTACCTTAATTGATTATTTATGGTTTCTAATCAATAATTCTTACCTCTAAAAATAAAGCATTCTCTTGTACAAAAATGGGCATTTATTTCTAGGTGAAAAAATCAGTACTATATTTGAAGATTTTTCTTTATTGACAGCTCAAATTTTAGTCATTGGTTAACAAAAGTACTAGTTAAAAAGTTGGTCTAGTAAAACTCAGAGGACTGCCTTAAGTCTGTGAAACTTTGGCACTGGCGATAGTATATCTTTTAATTTCTCTGTCTATAGATATATTTATTTCTTGAAGTAAACCTCCGCCAACATCAGCAGGTGTACTGCAAAAACTCAACTATAACAATGTTGATTTTCAGCATCGGTGGGCAAAAGGAGATCTGTCTTTAGTGCTCGTAGTTTAAAAGTAAAGACCTGAGTTGGCAGTTGTTCTAAACCGTATTTTACCGTAAAAAGTGACCGTCTCCCACAGGCCGGGGAGAATGACATCGTCTCCCGCCTGGCCTCTTAGGAAAGAGCAGGACGCTGGGGAGTGACGCCTGTCGCCTGACCCCTCGCTCTCTCCCTCAAGCTGCAGCAGCCTGAGGTCACTGCCTTCGCTGGCCTAGCACCCCACGAAGGCCGGCCAAGCTCGTGTCCACACCTGGAAAAGAACCACTAGCCAGGCGACGAAACAAAACATGGAGTAGAATTTTATTTGGACTTTCCTTGTGCAATTCAGTAATTCCTCACGTTAGGTAGCATCCAATGGCTAGAGAACAAGCCTCGCCATGAACACGCCACACCAGGGTCCTTCTGACACCAGGAGGGGCCCCCCAAGCTTCCAGGGCGAGGTCCTGGCAATGCCACCCCACTGCCAGCCCCAAGGCGTCTCCTCAGCCTGTGCTCGCCGTTGCCCGCCCAGCCACGTGACTCTTTCCGCACAGCTGCCCCCATGGCCCCTCGTGGCCTGAGTGCCCAGCACCGTCCGCTCAGGAGCTATGGAGGGTCTGAAACGCTTTGGAACCCAGCAGGGGACGAATGGAACGAATGAATGAATGACTGCATAGGCAGATACAACTAAGAATCACTCCCACTGTAAAAAGCCCAAGTAGCAAGTTCCTCGTGGAAGAGTGGGGGGGGTGGGGTTCGCCCCAAGCCACATGCACCAGGTCTGGGCGCTCACTCGCTGAGCATGTGCCAAATGCTCCCTGCTGGGATGGAAGAGCAAAAGCTTAGGATCCAGACAAGCCCAGCTCGTGAACCTGTGCCCTGCACCAAGGACGGGTCACCGAGGCTTTTCCTGTGAGCCCGCGGGGACGTGTCGCTGGTCAGGGTGCACAGAGCACCAGGTTACAAACCCAGACCTCCACCTGGGCAATCGGCAGCCTTCTCCCTTATCTGCAGCCTCTTTCTCCACGTCTATCCCACCCTCCTCCCCTGGGAATTCGCCTGCCCCGCCCCCCACGGCCCAATGAGGAAAAGCTGGAGCCTACACTTTCTTGTCTCCTCTGTCCCCCTGCTTCTCTGAAATCACCAATGCCAGGGGCACGGTGACCTCTGCAGCCAATGTAAGAAACAGCTCTGGAACCCGCCAAACTGGACAAGGCCCACCGACGCCTCCTGTCCCCTCCGCAGTCCGTCCTGGCTCCCCTTCCTCCAGCTTATTCCGCCCTCTGCAGCGATTCCTTGCTCACTGCCCCTCCCCGCAGCCGGGGGCTCCTGCAGCACCGCCCCCCACCAGCGCTGTCCTCACATGGATGTCCGGCACCACCTGGGAGGACAGTGGCCCAGGTGTGACGTGGACAGGAAGAGAGTGACCAAGGAGTCCCAAGGAGTGCTTACGAAGTCTGTGGATGACAGACTAGAGGAAGGACAGCGTGGTCCACGGAGTCAGGAGGCACGGCCCGGTGGCAGGGGCCTCAAAGGGGGTTCTGGAGGAGAGAGGAGGGGGCGTGGACTGGAAGGGACAAGGAGCAAGGGCTGTGGGGACAGCTCAGGTTCTGTCAGGCAGGAAGTGAGATGGGAGGTGGCCGGGGCTCACTCTGGCATCCCGGACAGACGTGGGAGGTTTAGGAGGTCAGGACAGACGAGCCTGGGCAGTGATGACAGGCCTGCTCGGTTGGGCTTCTCGGGGGGCCTCCCAGACCAGCCCTTGTCCTTGGCTCTCTTGTCCCCGTGAAACTCAATTCTGCCTGCTGTCTAGGTGTCCGTGTGTCCCGTGTCACCAGGACTGCAACCCCACGGGGCCTGGGCTGATCTGATCCGCCCACTGCATCCCGGCTCCACACACACGTGCCCAGGGGCAGCCACTGCCGCCAACGGCTCACGTGGGCACTTGGAGGCGCAGGGAGCCCTCGGAGCGCAGTCCCTCTGGGGCTGGAGCCTGGGGACGCCCGACTCCGTCCTAAAGCCTCCACTTCTCTAGTCACCAGGCTTCCTGGGCTTCACCCCAACGAGGGATGTCCTCGCCCCCCGAGGGAGCCTGCTCTGTGGAGCCAAAGCCCTGGGACGGGGGTGCCACCACCGCCCCAGCTGCCCCCCAGGCTGCACATTGTGGGGTGCACAAGCGGTCCCCGAGAAATGTTTAGGCATGCAGGAGTGAAGCTGTGTGCCAGGCCCAGCCACGCCTCCCACCTGCAGTCACTGGGCTGGCTTCACCCCAACGAGGGATGTCCTCGCCCCCCGAGAGAGCCTGCTCTGTGGAGCCACAGCCCTGGGAGGGGGGTGTCACCACCGCCCCAGCTGCCCCCCAGGCTGCACACTGTGGGGTGCACAGGCGGTCCCTGAGAAATGTTTAAGCATGCAGGAGTGAAGCTGTGTGGCGGGCCCAGCCAAGCCTCCCACCTGCAGTCACTGGGCTGTCATTGTTGAGAAATGAATTCTGCCTTACTTTTCAATATGCTTTGATTTGCGACAACTTGACCTACTGTACTTAAGGATCACGATAAATTTGGCTAAACTCTTCTTAAAGACAGGATACATTTTCTCCTTCTGAGGTCTGAGGAGAGCCCAGCTAAAATCCCGCACTGCCCTGCAGCCCCGGGGGACAAAAGCCGCCTCCAGCCGGACGCAGCTCCTCCCGCTCCGCAGGACTCAGCCTTCTCCCGGTGGGGGCCCGTCCCCCGCCCCGTGCCCACAGGACAGCGGCTGAGAAGAGGGGACCCCTCCCGTGGTCAGGGGGCCCGATGCCAGGCAGAGCCGTACTCACATGCTGTCCTTCAGCGAGGAGAGGTAGACGTCCGTTTCCGCCACGGAGATCGCGGGGTCCAGCCTGGACAGGTAACGGTACACGTAGGCGAAGGTCTCGAACGGGATGCGCGCGGGGCCCCCCTCGGGGTCGGTGGTCAGGATCTCGCACAGATGCTTCATGGCGGTGCTCAGGGACTGCAAGCGGCAAGCAGAGGGCGGGGTCACCACACGCGCTCGCCAAGGTCGACGCCAAGACGCCACGCAAGAAACCCCCGAGTGTACTTTACAGAAATTCTCCAGAACTAGGTGAATTTATCATTGCCATGAAAGAAAGACAGAAAAAGAAAAGTTTGAATGAAGATGCTACTGGTCTGAAAAAATTTTTAATCCACAGATTTTATAGGAAAATGGGATGACTTTTAAAGACAAGAGGAAGCTTAGGCCAACACAGAAACCCTCCAGCCCCCCAGCCCCACGATATACCTGGGGATGGAGCAAAGTGCCACCTGCGGAGGCAGGGCTGGCAGGGGCCTGCCGACGCCCACTGGCCCTGTGCGGGGCCCACCCTGCGCTGCGTCCTGTTGCTCTGGACAGCACCACGCCTCTCCCCGGCCGCTGTGCACCTCCCTCTGCCTGGCCAGCCGCCCTGCCCCACCCTGGCTGACATCCCAGACTTTCGGCCTGAATGCGGCTCCTTGGCCTTCGGTCCTGGGGAGGCTTCCACTCTCATGGGCAGAAGCTTCCAGAGCATGACCCTCCTCCCCCCCTTCCCCTTCAAGCCGTGAGGGCAGAGGCAGCGCGTTCGGGGTGGGGAGCCACCTCCCGTCAGAGCCGAGGGCCGGATTTCCCTCGAGGTTTTGTCAGATCCCGTGACTCTGAGCACCGTAGAGGGGCGGCAGAGTCTGCTAAACCTTCAGGCATCTGTGTGAAGGTGGGGGGGGGGCAGGCTGAGGTCAGCATCTGGGAGCACTTGCCCCGCGTCTCAGCAAACTCCCGTCTGCGCTGCACTTAGGAGGGAAGAGAAGGAAACAAACCCGCGAGGACAGTCCCTAGGGGACACCCGGCCGGCAGGGAAAGCCACACACGCACCTGCGTGACTGCAACCGTGGCGGTGTGTGGGGCCAGGGGCATGCAGAGGGCTGGAGCCAGGCCTTTCCTTTTTTTTTTTTTGAAACAAACCACACATGTTGATGATCTAGCAGTTTCTGCGGGTTGGGAGTCGGGTCCTGTCAGGCTCCGGTCACGGTGTGAGCCAGGGCTTGGCTTCCATCCAGAGGCTCCAGTGCTCGGGGGCCCACCCTGCCGTCACCCAGGCTGTTGGCGGGACTCGGCTCCCTGTGGCTGTAGGGCTGGCGGGCTCGCTCCCCGCTGGCCACCGGCTGGCAGCCGCCCTGGGCTCTGACAGGCTGCCTGCGGGTCCCCAACATGTGGCCCCCTCGCCACGTGGCAGCTTGCTTCTCCAGCGCTCCAGGAGCTCGGCCAGGCCCCACGGCAAATATCAGGGAGAAGCCACCTTGCGCTTCCGGCAGGGGGAGGAGAAAGGCGCAGGACAGAGGCGAGGTCCCCGTGCAGCACGGTAGAGCTGGCCAGCACTCGCCACGTGCTGGGCACCGTCTGAGAGCCCGGCTGGCCATCTCCTCCACTCCTCACGGTCACCGTGCACAACGAGGACAGTGGGCCAGACGGGCTGAGTACTTGCCCACGGCGGGCCGGGCCTGCTGACCAGCGCATCCCACCACTGCGGTCAGCCGCCGGGCTGGCCGGGGCGCGCGTGGCGGGCGGGCGTTCGGATGGAGAACATGAGGCCGAGCATCACAGACCCCCCCGTCACCTCTCTCCACGATGGAACGCCGGGGTGTGCGGCACAGTCCTGACGCTGGCCTAACTCGGGACGAGATGACGCCCGGCGAGAACCCCGGGTCGCCGTCCGAACCCCCCGAGGAACTGCGCAGCCATGCCCAGGGCCGTCCTCGACAGACAGCTCGGGAAAGCTAGTCGAGGGTCTCACAGGGCGTCTTCCATGCTTCCACTTCGCAGAGCCGTGTCGCGATGCTCGGTGTTGCTTTTCCATGTGACAGGAAGTCCCCGCCGAGTGCGGGTATGCAGCCGGGGGACGGGGGGCAGCTGGTGAGGAGCAGGCAGACGAGATCTGCGTGATGGGGTGTCAGACACTGCCAAAGAAGGATTTAAAAGACAATCGCGTCGGCACGTGCGAGGGCCGCTGCCTCTGCAAAGGCACGGTGACGTCACAGGCGGTGGCATATCTGACAGTAGGGCTGGCAGCAATTTTCACATCCAAAAGGGTCTAAGGCAACGAGCGTGGTTTTGCGCTGAGAGTTCTGTTTCTCATAGACAGATTTCTCCACTCCAAGGGGTGGTGGGTCGCGAGGCTCCATGTCACCACACTGGCAGGTGACCCTTCTAAGCTCCTGACGCTGCCCGTTCACTCTCGGGTGCCTGAGGCTTCCCAGGGAGGGCCACTGGCCACCGGCACTTGTTTTCAGCCAGGTGCTCACACCTGAGCCGTCGTCGGAGTGGGAGTGAGGACGTGTGAGCAACACGGGCACGAGGCGCCTGCCGGTCCTGGGCGTCTTCGGCACGCTGATTCCGTGCGGTTTTTCAGTTTCAGAGTTTTTGCTGCTACCATGACGACACACAGAGCCACCTCACCACCCCCAAGGGTCCCTTTTCAGAGAGCATGAAAGTAAAAATGGCAATAATATCTCGACTTACCCCGTCAAACAGAATAAGAACAGAGAAGACCCCGCTCCCGCAGGCGTGGCCTGACCATGCCCAGGCGGAGACCGACGTGACGTGACGCGGTGGCACCCGCCCCCAAAATCTCATTTTTAAAAAGCTGGCGACCCTCTTCCCATCCTCGCAGGGTTTCTCATCTAAAACGCGGTTCTGGGGCTTGCGGCAGGTGCGGGAGGGTGCCCCACCTTCTCCAGGTGGCTGGGACGCGGTTCCAGAGTGAAGCCGACCTGCTCAGGGCAGACGCTGCCCTCGCCATCGTCCAGGCAAGGGATGGAGTGGCCGCCACGCCAGCATCCGCCAGCGAGCACGGAGTGGGTGTGAGCACAGGGACAGCGCTGACAGGAAGCACACCCTCCCCCCAGCCCGCCCTCCCCACGGACTGGGCACATGGTTCTGGTTCTGGGGCAGGTGGGCCCAGCCGCCTCCTCTAGAGGCCATCACGCCTAGCGGGCGGCCGTATCTTGTCCCTGGCCTCGGAAGGTAAAGGAATCTTCTTGGCGACCTCAGAATGGGCTGCAGAGGCCACTTGGAGAAACTTGGCTGTTTAAAACCTGAACGAGTCTTCCACACTTGAACCTCATCCCAGAGGCCGAGGGCGGGGGCTCCCCACAGCAGGAAGGAGTCATGGCCAACGGCAAACACTACTGCTGAGCTGGCTTAGTGAGGGGACAGGGCGGGCCCCCGCCTGGGCAGGCTGGGGTAAGTGACCTATCACTGGAAGATAAGAGAGGCCTGCCAGCTCTCTTCCACAGAGCAGGCAAGTTTAGAAGGTGGAGAGCCATCCTTGACAAAATGTCTCCATCTAGTGTCACACATGGATACCAGAGCTCACCTTCCAAAACGGGCCGTTTGGTTTTAAATCTAGTGCTTCCTTTTCACAATCAGGGAGGTAGAAATTTAAAAAGACGGATCCAAAATATAAAATGTTCTAATTGCTCAGCATCATAAAAATCTAAATTTCACAACTAAGTTGAGAGGCACAAACCGTGAACAATCCAAATATTAGATATGATAGTATTAAAATCTTGATTTCGCAGAGTTCCAGAGGAACCAAACAACATAAAGTGTCCTCCAATAATTAAATTTACTTGTCTTTGGCCTTCCCGTGGACACTCGACTGAGACGCTCCCTTGGCGACATCTGAGACTGTCTTCGCTACCTGGTCAGCCAGCGCCCGGCTCTCAGCACAGCTGGCCCAGGGGTGGCCGCCCTGCCCGTGGCTGACAGACAGTCCCCAGCGGCAGGCCAGGCCGGCAGGAGCTCACTGGGCTTTCACACTCTCCCTGGGGCTGCTGACGGAGGGTGCAGCGCAGTGTGTTCCCACAGTGGGTATGACAGACACAGCAGGGGGAATGAGCGACAGCAGTCTGTGATGAATAAATGCAGAAATCTAACTGGGGATGGAAAGAAGTCCCAGAAGATTGCTAACAACACAATTATCCTTTCATAAAAATAAGACCACTACAATTAGGGAAGGTATTTCTTGGGGTGCACATGTGACAAGAGGGAGGCGTGACACTCAAGAGAGCCTGTCTCCGGGTGCGGGAGGCCAGGGCTCGGGGTGGAAGCGGGGACACAGGCACCTGGCTGCAGGCTATTGCCGGAGTTAGTGACCACGTAGGGTGGTATCAGATAAAGTAATTTTTTAAAAAATAAAACAGAATGCAAGAGGCTCATGCATGGCCCCAAGGTGAGTGTGCGCCATGAAGCGAGGGTTGTGAATCATCCAGTTATGTACTCGGGCCCAGAGACTGCAGGGAAAGGGTAAAAAAAAAATGCTCATCTCTAAAGGGGGTTCCCTTTTTCAACCCCCTTTCTTCAGAGCTTAAAGCGGTGACTCTCCCTCCACTCCACCCGTGTCTCACAGAGTGACTCAAACACTGGAGCCGAAGAGAGAGGTTCTAGACTTCGAAAGGGAGGCCTGCCAATGCCCTCCCAGCCCCCAGCCCCACCCCGGGGTCCCGCTGGCTCCCAGACCTCTCGCCTCCAGAACCAGAGGGCTGTCTGGTCTTCAGGATGGATTTGTTTGGGTTACGATGTATCTGCTAGTTACTAATAATAGATTTTAACTAAAGTATAACATAATTTTATGCCATTTTCCACAGACTAAGGAAACAGATATTACCCATTTACCAAACGGTGTGTAGTTTAATAAAAAGGCAGTGACGCATTCTCCTCTAAAACGTAAATGTGTCTTAAAAGTATGCATATGTTTTATCTACTGTTAATGTCTCTTAAGTCGAGATATTCATAAGTAACTTCTGTAAATTAAAATAACTTGAAGCCTGAAAATACAATAGGCATCTGAAAAAAAATTGCTTTTCTGAGACAAAAGTTACAAAAGTAATGAAAGTGATTCCTTCCGTTACTGAAATACCTAGATTTTTTTCAGCCAGGCCTATGATTACACAGGATTATCGGTACAGTATTTCTAGGTACTTACCCCGCCAAGCATGCTACATCCAAGCGCTAAAAATTTCATCCACTCCATTTCGTGTTCACAAGGATCCAGCTGCAAGAGAGCTCTGAATTTTTCTATGGGCAGGCACAGTTTTCCCCATTTCTGCTCAAGGTCGGCCAAGTCCACATACTGCCTGTGGCTACACTGTTCGGAACATACAATATGATACGATTTATATAGGCTTTAAAAAGCCATGAAGTAATATCATGCTGTGACTACTTAAACATATCCCAAGTACCCTCCCAGCCCCATGCAGGGACAAGTGAACCCCGAATCCAGGACCCAGTCACCCCCGGGGAGGGAAAGGGAGGGTGTGTGTGGTACGAGCTAGATACTGACAATTTACTTCCTAAATAAGGACTGTGAAGCAAATACGGCATAATGTTATAACTTAATAAAACAGGCATAATGACGTTGGGTGTATGATTCTCTACTGTCTGTCTGAAATACTTCACAATAAAAATATTAACTTCAATAAATAAAAGCTTTTAAAATCCAGGCCCGTAAAACTGTTAATGGGTAAAATGGGAGAAATCTTAAAACCAAAAATAAATATATTCCTTCTCCCATCTTCAAACGGATAACTTCTGCCACGGGCTGGCGGCATTCCATGTGAAAAGTCTGGGGCAACGTTAGCGTGTCTCTTCCCAAGCTACCCCTTACGATGCTTGTTTGTTTTCCCTCAAAATAGAGAGCCCTGGAAAAAAACCAACTTTCAGAAGTTACTGTATCCTGCACAGAAGCACAGCATTTCAACATGTATAATGGGCACCAGTCACTTTAGAAGTCAAGGTTACACCAGTGGTGGCATTTTTCAGCAATACGACCCAATCTTCATGAATGCTGAGCCCCAAAGCTGGGCGATACATTTCCTGTCACCTCGTCTCTGTAACAGCGAGCAGACTCCCCGAGGGCTGCCAACCAGGGCCAGGCCAGGCCAGGCTCTCTGCAGGTCGGGGACCCAGACAATGCAGACCCTCTCGTACCTGCTTATGCAGAACTCGAAGGAGTCCCTGAGTCAGGCCCGTGTCTGTTTTCTGAGTGGCCACAGGCATCTCGATTCGGTCCTTTACAGGAAGTGGATCGCCTCTTGACAAAGCTGAAAAATACCTAAGCACAGCAGGCACCGCTTAAGGCTCAACACGCAGAAAAGCAAATCAGATAGTAACAATTAATGCACTTTCTTAAACGGGTCCCGGTTCCTCCCGCTTGACCCAATCTGCTGCCTCCATGTCTCTGTCTGCAGAGTGCAGGTGACAGTCCCTGTCCTAGGGCTCCCAGGAGCACTGAGCATTGGAACACATCTGAGTCCACTACACACAGACTGCTTAATGACTAATACCTGGTTTTTCTCTTCGACTCCGAAATCGTTCTTGAAATTAGTCGCATGAAACATTCAGAAAATTGTTCTTGAAATTAGTCGCATGAAACATTCAGAAAGTTCTCAAGCCTTTTAAATTAAAGCGAAGCTTAAAATTGTTGTCTCTAAAGTGTTACCAAATATGACCTAATGTTCCAAGAAAAAAAAAAGATAAAATCTTGGAATGTTTTGTAGAGTAAAAATAAACTCTTAAGAGTCCTAACTACCTTTTGTTTAGGCTTGAATAATGGTTAAAACCAGAGGCCATACTTTTTCTGACAAGAACCTTGAGAGAGTAGTTCAGAAGTAACTAGAAGAAGTGTTGTCAGAAGGCCAAGTGCTGGATTAACAAGTAGCCTTGAGAAGCAGGTGCAGTAAGGCACCCAAAGAGATCCAGGTCCTCATTCTGGAAACTGGGGAGCTTATTTTGCATGGAAATAGGAATTTTGCCTAGTGTGTGAGTGAGGATTTTGAGATGGGAAATTGATCCTGAATTACCTGGATCGGTCCTAAAGGTAACCACAAGTGTCCTTAAAAAGAGGAAGGCGGAGGAAGTGTCCTTAAAAAGAGGAAGATGCCACCCTACTGGCATTAAAGACGGAGGAAGGGGCCATGAGCCAAAGAATAGAAGGAAAGCAGCTCCAGAAGCTAGGAAGGGTGGGGAAACCCATCAGATTCTTCCTAGCACCTCTGGAAGGAGCGAAGCCCTGCCAGCATCTTGACTTCAGCCTGGTGAAACTGCTTTTGACTTTCGGCCACCAGAACTGAAAGAGAATAAATGTCTGTTGTTTTAAGCCTTCAAGTTTCGTGGGGTCTTGTTCTAGCCGTCACAGGAAACGAATTTACCTTGGTTATCCAGTTTAGAGAAGGTCAGTAAAAGCCGACATCATAGCTACTAAAACATTTTAGTTAAATTTATACTGATAGTGATTCTTGTGATCATCACATTGAGCTTCTAAGTCCGTTTACTGAAAAGGGGCAAAGAGTTTCCCTAGAAAACCAAAAGGGTTTACTTTAATGGTTCGAAGGTCTGTTGGCTTGTAACTTTAAAATTATGAACGTGGAAATGGTTACGATGTTTGCCGCAAAGAAACTGTAAAGGCTTGTTTGCTGTGAAGTCAGCTGGGCAGGGTTTAGCCATAATGCAGCCTAGGGCCGAGATGGCGCTGTCACTCTGGTTCTCATTAACTCGGCCAGGACCTGACCCTGGGAAGGTTCCCGGGGGAGGAGGGACCAGGCCATAAGATTCCTCCTTTACAAATAAAATAAAGGGACTGTAATGGTTGGATCGGATAACAATGCCGCAACGTGATGCCCAATGCAACTGCTGTCTAAGTGTTCGTCTATCTGCATCTCCCTCCGAACCCTCGTTACTTTGTAGATAAGTGAGCTTTCGGCAGCGATTTCTGGTCCCGGAGTCAATAAACCGTAATGCTTCCTAGATAGATGCTTAGGCGTGGACACCCCCGGTGCTGAAGGGGACCCTCTGCGCGTCCTGAGCGTCGGGGCACGGCGCGCCCGGGCGCGGGGCCGGCCGCCCCGACCCTGGCCGCAGGCGCTTACCCCGCGGACCACTGCAGCACGTCGGCGGGCTGCGTGCGGATCGCCGCCTTGGTGAACTGCTTCAGGATGTCCGGCAGCTCCGGCGGAATGTGGATCTGCTGCGCGCAGAACATGGTATCGGGAAGCGGCATCTCTCTCCAAGGACGGGACACAGGCTGGGGCGACCTAGGCGTGCTGCCGGGGAGCAGGGGCGGCGCGTCAGCGGCGGGGGCGCGGCCGCCCGCCCTCCCCAGGTGTGGGGCCGGGTCCGGGGTCCGGGATCCGGGTCCGGCCCGGGACCCCGGGTTTGGAGCAGGCCGAGAGGCGCGGCCGGTATGGGCCCTTACCCGCTCCTCCTCCGGCACCTCGGAAAACGAGGGCCAACAGCCCCTGGCAGCGCAGCCCAGGCCCAGACGCTCCGCAGCTCCGGCGGCCGCTACTGTTGCGCCGCGGTATCCAGGCAACCGCGACGCACGCCCCGCCCCGGCACCGCCCACGAGCGGGAGGCAGTGCGCTTGCGCAGTCCGGACGCGGCCCGCCTCCCGCCCCGCACGCACGCACACCCCTCTCCCCCGATAGTTTAGAGCTGCTGCAGGAGCTCTCTCACTTCGGAAGGGGCCTTCTGATCGCTTTTCCGCTGCCGACTGGGGCTACACATTCACAAAGGACACCCCCCCCTCCTTGCCGTGGCCACGTGAAACTTAGGGACGAGGTGACAGAGGTCCTCCTAAGTAGGAAACCATTAAAGTCACTGCTGCCGATCTCTAGGCGGCAGGAGCCTCCCTGAAGGAATCTGAGCTCCTGCCTTGCTCAGCGGCTCCGTTCACCCTGCACCGGCCTTTGGCGGCTTGTCCCAAGAGACGTCTCCGCCTGGGCACCGTGCACAGGCTGGTCCCTGGTGAACTCATTCTTCGGATATCAGTTGAAAAGCCACTTAGAGTTTAGACAGTGGGGAGTTCACAGCTAAAAGAGGATTCTACTTAACTTGTTTTCCTAACTAAGATGGGGGTTGGGGGGTGGTGGTTAGCTAATCTGATTGGGTATAGGAGAAAATAAGTCACCCCTTCTGATACAATAGCTTTGGGTGGAAGGGTGGGAGAAACTCCCATTCTGGTGGATGCTGACCAGGCAGCATGCAAGATCTGAGCCTTCCTTTAGGGAATATCCTGGCTGGCTGCTGCAGCTGCTTAACACCCACACTGAATGAAAGAGGCCCTGAGACCCATCACCCCTTGCTCACCTCTAGACAGGAAGATGGAGCACTAATACGAGCTATTTCCGGGATGGGCCAAAGACAAAACTCTCCTTCCTTCCGGAGAGGCATCAAGCCCCAACCATGACTCGACTACCTTGAGTTATACACGTTTCCGAATTAACATTAGCAAAAACTGAAAATAGTCACTAATGTTGATGACAATATGGAGAAATAGGAAATCTTATACACTGATGAGAGAGGAGTGTTAATTAGTACATTTTGGTGGCGATTTAAATATTTTTGATGACAGCGATTTTCTAGGAATTTGTTCTACAGAAATAGCAGCTTGAATATATCAACTAATATGGACAAAAATGTTTACTACAGCATATAATAAAATGGGTTAACTGTCTTTCAGAAAACTTAAGTGAATGTATGTTTATGCAGAGCACAGTCTGGGGTGTATGCTAAACTGACTGGTTCCCTCGGGACTGAACGGGGGCTTTGAGGTTTCATTTTAACCATATATACATTATTTGATTTTGATTCACTTACTTACTTACTCTGTGATTTTATTAAATGCCAAATATGTCCCAAGGACTGTTCTGGAATACAGTAGTCATCCATAAATAGTTTCACAAAAAATCTCTGGAGCTCGCATTCAAGTGAGGGAAAACACGCAAATTATCAACAAGAAAGGTAAACCCTATAGTATGTTGATAAACATGAAAGAGAAAAATACAGAAGAGGGAAAGAATGCCCCAGGAGCTGCGATTTTAGATGAGCCTCACTTAGAATAACACTTCGGTAAAGAAGGAGCAGGCTGGGCAAAGCCTGGATGAAGAATATTAAGACACAGCCAACAGCAAGTGCAAAGGCCCTGAGGTTTCACCCATTCTGGAAAGGGGAGGCTGCCTGGAGCTCACCAAACACAGGGCGTCATGGGCCGGAGGGTGTGAACTAGTGAAAAGTTCTGTTCCGATTGCTTCTAACTTCTCAGTGAAATAGGAATTAGAGTCAACGGCCAAAAACGAGATAAGAGGAGAAAGTGGCACTTTGAGGAAAGAAGGTATGGAATGGTCCGTTAGGGAGCCTGTATGAACGCAGTATTACTTTTTAAAATTGAGGTAATTAACATGCAATAAATTGCACAGACTTGGAGTGTGTAATTCGGTAAGTTTGGACATAATGTATGCATGTCAAACCAGAACCCCATTGAGATAGTGAACACGTCCATCACCCCTATTTCTTCATGCCCCTTTGAAATCCCTCCAAATCCTTCTTGCCGAACCCCGCCCCTACTGAGCTGCTTTCTATAGATTTCTGTGGTTACTTTGCATTTTCCAGAATTTTATATAAATGAAAGCATACAGTACAGTTTGGGTCTACTTCACTCAGCATAATTATTTCGAGATTTGTCCATGTATATATCAATAGTTAGTTGCTTTTTATTGCTGAGCAATATTTCATTGTATGGATAATCATCTGTCCATTCACCTCTTGATGGGCATGTGGATTGTCTCCAGCTTTGGGCTATTACAAATAAAGCCACCATGTGTGAACACTCCTGTTCTAGTCCTCAACTGAATTTAAGCTGTCTTTTCTCTTGGTAAATAACTAGGAGTGGTAATAAGTACAAAGTCCAACCTTCTAAGAAATGCCCATTTTCCAAAATAGTTGTACCATTTTACGTTCCCTCCAGCAGAGAATGAGAGTTCCAGTTCTTCCACGTCTTCACCAAATTGGTCAGTAATTTTCATTTTAACCTTTCTAAAATTAACAAGATTTGCGGTGGCATGACATTGTAGTTTTAATGTGGATTTTCCTAATGCCATGATGTTGAACAGCTTCTTGTGTGCTTATTTACCATCTGTATACCATCTTCAGTGAAGTGTGTTTACATTATTGTTTTTAAATCAGCAAATAGGTTTTACTATTGCATTTTGAGACATCTATTCTGAATTCATGTCCTTTATCAGATGTTTTGCAAATACTTTCCACAGCTTATCTTTCTGTTGTCTTTTAAGAGTGTATTTCAAAGAGCAGCTGTTTTTGATTTTGTAAAGTCCAATTCATCAAATCTTTCTTCTATGGATTGTGATTTGGGGATTGTATCTAATCTAAATCTACGCCTAACCCAAGACTAAACATTTTCCCCTGTTTTCATTTAGACCTTACACAGTTCGCAGTTTTTTACATTTAGGACTATAATCAATTTTGAGTTAAGTTTTGCATATGTTGAGAAACGGATCGATTTTTAATATTGGCAGCAGGATGTCCAATTCTTCCAGCACTATTTGACTTTTTCACCTATGACAAAAATCAGTCGTGTATTTGTGGGTCTATTTCTGGACTCTCTGTTCTCCTCCATCAGACCAAGGGACTGTGCAGCCAGCAGAAATCACGTTTGACCAAAGAACAAAGGAGTCATCGAACGGAAGTCCTAGCTTCTAGTCCTAAAGGAGAGTTACTGCCCAAACGTGGAGAAGCAGACACCACAGTTACACACGTAAAAGGAAGACGTTTCAAAGAGGATCAAAGTGTGAAGCGGTACGTAAAGGGATGTCACACAGGTTATTGGCTGTTGACATAGGGACAGTTGTAGTGCAGTGTGCGGCTGAGTGGAGCAGAAGGAAGGAGGCTCAAAGAGGAATTGTGGGGCCCTGGGGGGAGGGGTGCCTATACACACAAACAGTAATTAAGGACCTCAGGAGGGCCTCGCAGACCCCTCCTCTCCTCACCTCGAGGCATTTTATTCATTGCTCTAACAGAACGTTTGGTTCACTTTTCTGTTATTTCCCACTCTGATGGCTTCTTGAAGGCAGACCCCGGGCCTCGATCAGCTACAGAGGGAAGTTCAGTGCAGGAAACCGGACAGCAGAAAAACGCTGGGCTGCGGCTGGGAGAGGAGCGCTACCCGTCAGGGCATCAGTCCCATGTGTGCAGCAGGGGGCGCTAATGACCACTTTCTGACATTCACTGTGCAATTTCCTTTGCTGTAAAATTTCAGCTTCGTAGATGATAGATGCTCTGATTCAAATAGCATTTCGCCTAACCCCACTGCATTTAAATAAAAATGCACTTGATTAAAAAAATCATAGAATAAAATTGAACTTAGAAACAAACAAACAAAAATTAGAAACAAAAGGATCTCTTCACACAGGGCAATGAGGAGAAAAAGATCCTCGTGCAGGCATTTCCTTTTCCTCTGAGACACGGTCAATTATGTCAAATGGATTTGACTGGCATGACTCTATCCCAGTAGCCACCAGAAGAGGGTGCAACCTGGTGCGCCTGGGACGCTGCGCTCTCGCAGCAAAGGTGCAGAGGTGGGTGAAAGACGAGGTTCCCAAAGGGGACAGCCGTTAAGGACGGTGTGGTGCGGGGAGGGGAGGGGAGGGGAGGGATGTGTCCTCTGCAACCACAGTTTTAAATTCATACTTAGAACAGAGGGGCTATAATCCCATGCAACGTGAGATTTTTTCTTAAATAATCGTTAAAAATATCTGGATTATATACCTATGCTAATAATGCACATTTCTGTAATTCTGAAGCAATTTTGCAATAAAGCAAAAACAAACCGACCAAAAAATATAGGCTACGACTAACATTCACTTTATTCAATTCTGTTCTCGCAACTCAGAAGGCAACAACCAACCACATAAAAAAGGGAGCATTTTAGTATATACAGATAAAATTGGTCTGGGTATCCAAGGTGTTTGCTTTAATAGAAAATCGACATCCCAAATAACGAAGTGTTCTATTAGCTTCTACAACAGTCATGTCTAGGCCTTAGTCGATACCTGTTCATTTAAGGTACTATGTTATTTTCATGACTACACACTGAGGCACTCGTAAGACACACGGAGGAATAAAAACATACATACTGTCTTTTCTTTATGTTGTATTAATGCTGAAATATTGTCAGGGATTATTTGAAAAAAGCCCTTACTCGTGACAGCTCTTTTAAAAAATGACACAGGGCAGTATACAAGCTGAAGGGAAAACATCTGATTGAGGGGAAAAATTAAGTGAGATACAAGACAGCTCCAGCGAGGAAGTTAGAGAATCTCCACAAATGAAGCTTTTAATAATACTTTAGTACTAAGACATTTTACTTTTGTTTTTTTCTTGATTGCAACTGAATAGGTACCACTCTAAAGGAGTATTTTAAACATAATCATTTAATTTTACAATGTAAAAAACTTATCACAGTAAGTAGAGAGCTTAAAATACCCAATTCTAAAAATGAGAATAAGTAGCTAACTTGCAAAGTTTTAAAAAGTGCCAGTGTTCATATACTGGCGCTACATTCGTGTGTGTGTGTGTATGTGTGTGTGTGTGTGCGTGTGTAAATGCAATACAATGTAGAAATGTCCAGTACTTTTTTGTATTGTTTTAAAAAATCATCAATTCAACCTAAATTAAAGAATTACTTTAATAGCATTTTGCCAATACAGAAATGACATATCTGAGATCAAATCATTTGAGAAAAGGTTACCCTCTATTACTCGAACAGGGAAAGAAAATACAAGACAGGAACTCACAGTAATAAGTTAGATTAAATGTTGAAATAAAAATTACTTTTGTTTCCATCTGGAATTGAGACGTCCAATCTCCACTGTTTCTCCAGAAAACTAACAGGAAAAGATCGCCTGAAAACATGGAGCTTTTTTAAAGCTAGCTGTACACAAACTTCACATTGGCATTTTTTTTCAGTTTTCAGCCCAACTATTAGTACCTAATAGTTTAAAAGTCAAACATAATTTGCTAATAATAAACAACTGCACGCTCTATACTATGACCATGTGGTAACTGGCCATGTAAAACTAAGTGTTGATTTGTCTTCAATTTATAAATAGTAAAAATAAAGCAAAAAGGTCTTCCTTCTAATTAACTTTCTTGAAGGCTGTTTTGGCCCAATGTAAAGTGAAGCAAAACTACACTATCATTTTTTTAAAATTCTACATAAAGAAGGGCAGCAATACTAGCACTTTCTGAATGAGTTTAAATATTTGTAAAACAATAATTGATTAGCAATAAAATCTGGATGCTACCCCAGTAAATAGTATGCCAGCAGCATCTGCTGACATGTGAAAGCATCCATCTTTTGAAAACAGGACGAAGCACAACCGAAAACCTAGGGGAATCATTCAGACGGACAAGATAAAGGTATCTGCAAGTGAAATGGAGGGCAACTTTTTGGCCATTCCTATATAGATAGATAGATTTTTTACAAAATATCTGATAAGATTCATTTAAAATTCTGTAGAATAATGGTTTTTAATCTTTTACGTTACCTGCCTGTATCTTTCTGGTAAAACAGATAAATGTGTTCCAACAGCTTTATATAAGATCTACAAATTCCCTGCAAAATTAAAAAAAGAAACCTAAATTAATCAAGTTATATGCCCAATTTGATAGTATTTTTCTCCCAAAGAGAACAATTTATATAGACATACACCATGACAGGTGGCATTACATTTTAAAATGCTAATTTTTTACAGCAGGACTAAATTTCTAAGTGAAGGCGGGGCTCCCAGAGACCTTATTTCAAACACGAGAGAGCGGCCGACTACAAAGTGCCAAAACGTGTAACACTGAACTCTATGTCAAGCCTTTTCTTCCTGATACTGAGGTTTTAAAACATCTTTCAAAGTAATCGCTTACCACTTTGGGGAAAATCAATGAACTATATAAAACAACCGGAACATGTTGCTTTTGATTCGGTAGCTTATTTTTGGCTGACTTTCCTATTTTAAAAAATCCTCAGATCTGAGTCTAGGGTTTTAATACCATATGGAACTTCTTGTATTGTTTCCGAAGACCCATGCTGCCCATTCTCTCTGAGAACTGAGGTTATCATTAACCAACCAGCCTCACGCTGACTATATACGCCATGGCCATCAGATACTCGGGTCATGTGCCCAATGCCCTATTTCTCTAAACTTCTAACTTGAAGCTGTGGTTACAAGAGAAAACCAAGTTTCTAAGTGTTCAGTTCTCTGAGATTTTCCAGCACGTTTCCAATCAGATACATCCTGCACTCCTATGTTAAAAGGCCAGCTCGGCCAGGTTCCTTCTGGATGAACGAAATCAAGCTGGTTTTATTTGTAGTTTTATTCTGTAAACAAAAAGCTTCGGAAACTTTGGGATTTACTCATGGAAAACTAAGAAAAATGCATTCCCTAATCCCTATCCAATGATACACTGGCCAGTGGGACCAGTTGTTCTAACCAGTCTCTTCTCACGGTGTCAATCTAAGACGCCAAACCACATTTGCATTTAGCGAACATCCCAGACGTCCTAGTTCCAGTAAGATGCAGTGCTGTTGGGGATATTATTCTGTAAGACTTATGATCTTGCATCATTTCGGCCACTGCTGACAAAAAGGATAGCTGTGTATAGGATAAGGGGCGGGGGGGGGGACTAATGAAAATCTTCTTTTGGACTTTTTTTCCTCTAAGTATAGGCATGCCCCCAACAAGCACAAAAACCCAACTCCCAATGCTGATCACTAGGAACATTAAATTATCAAAATTAAAAATAATTTCCTCACCTAGCACAAGATACTATACAACATCACAACCGCAGACACATGAAAAAAAATCAGGCAGCAGAAAATGTACAACAGCTTTGGTGTTATACAAAATAACTTCCAGGAGCCACTGACAGTGAAGCACGAGGTCCGGGTCTTCTTACCACAGACGCCCCACTGCTGGTTTCTACGTTTCCGTTTCCGTCCTCGGTAGGGTCTCGGCAGCCAAGACAGACAGAATGTACAGTTTGCTTAACGAGAACTATACATTGCTAGGAACACCATGACACTGTGCTCCTAAACATGTCATTAAGAAGTCTTGCCTCTGCATTGTGGCTCTGTGGCACATTTCCTGTCAAGATCACAGCAGGTCCAAAATAAAGTGACAACTAGATTTAATAAATTAATATACATTTGTTTAAAGATGTACAATGCACATTCTGTTTAATCCACGGTTCTGGGCCTCCAGGAACTTCTATTTACACATGTACAGACCTCGGGCAGCAGTGACGTCAGAGGGCAGGGAGGGCAGCAGGGCCTGCGACCGCCGCCCTCCAAATGCTGAGCACACCAGCCAAACGCATCCAACCTGAAAACAATGCTGAGAGATCACTGGGAAAGTCTTCAGAGAGAGAAGTCCACAAAGAAGGGCAAGTAAAGGCAAGGGGCAGGTCCAGGAAGCTGGGACGACCGCCTTACTCCTGGGACGACTGTGGAGGGGGCGGAGATGTGCCTTGTTTGCCAGATTTTCGCTCATAGTTCACGAGGCGTTGGCCCACAAGGTACCTGGGTTGTAAAAGCAAGGTGGTTACTCTCTTACACGATCTTACACGTTAAAACGTCCTTCCTAACTACTGCCAGCGATACGTTTTTTAAAACACAAATCAGATCACTTCTCATCTACCTAAAACCCTTCCGTGGTCAGGTAGGTAGAAGGGGAGCCTAGAACGATCACCTGCCAAAGGCACAAAGGCAGGCACCTTATAGCAAGGAACAGGTGTGTGGGAAGACGTGTGCACAGCGAAGGTCAGAAGGGCCCGCGCGCCTGTCCGCAGGGTGGGACTTCTCGGGAACCCAGATGCTCAGGGGGCGGAGGAGAGCGAGGCAGAGCAAACCTGTGCAGGGGGCTGATCTGTAGGGATCATATTTATGAAACAGCCTAGTGGACAGATCTGAAGAAAGGCCTGGAAATACGACGACCAGAAAGCTGGCAGAGAGAGCCCACCCTGCCCTCCCAGGCAGGACGGAAACAGCTCTATCTAGCTCCAGAGAAAAAAAGAAATCAACACAGATTTCAGTGAGGTCGAAGGGGAGATGGCAGAGAAGCGATTGTAGGCGAATGACAGAGGCAGGGGTTTAAGTGCAAGAACAGAACGTGAAGAGCTCCTAGCCCAGGTGCTGTGTGATGACAGGGAGATCGCGGCCAGGAACGCAGGACCTCAGGGACGGAGACGGAAGTCAGTGCGGCTGCGACAGGACGGCAGTCCCGCCAGGACGCCGAGTGCCCACGATGACGGCAGGAGTGGCCAAGGAGCCCCAGCGGTATGCCTCACTAAAGCCGGTGGAATGACCTGGAGCTTGACCACTGCAGGACAGTGGGTGACAAAGCCGATGGCAATGAACTGGAGGGGACTGGGGTGCAAATGTGCCGTGACCCTCAGTGCAGATCAGTAAGACTGTGGCGTCTGTGGTTAAGAGTGCGACAGTGAAGCCTGCGCGTGACGGGGCTGCGGGGAGCTGGGCTGTCCGAGGCCCGGTCTACTCATCAGTAAAATGAGAACGACAGGCCTGTGCCCCACGCCTGCGGTGCGACAAACGCCTGGCCTGGCTGAGGGCTCAGTGCGTCGACTCATCTTTCACCAGGACCCCCCGCTTCTGTCCACACACATAGGCCTCAGGAGGTGTCCTGGCCATCTGTGCCACGCAGTTCAGCATTTCACGTCTTAAAACACTTCGCTACTCCTGCTGCTTCTTCAGCCAAGATCTCACCGTTCGTTCAATCCTTTCTGTCTCACCAATTCTCTTCCGAAGTTAATCATTCTTTACTCCACTGTTGCCCAAGCAACCCGTGTTTTTTTAACTGTTGAGGATTTTGTACATATCTTTAATAACGACAACTGAGCAACGTGTGACGCAGTTCACGCAGCACCACCTGACATGCACACACATAATCATAAAACGCATCAAGATGTGCCAAGAATGGGGTTAGCATTACGCAACGAAGATGCAGTAGGGAGCACAAAGCAAAGCGATGTGAACTCACTTGCCCAGGACCAAAAAGTAACTCAGTGGCAGAAAAAGGAGACTCTGAACCCATACCCAACTCTACGACCCTGGTACCTCCCCCCACCCACCCCGTGCACACGCACACTCGGCACCTCCTAGGGACCAGGCTGGGAGTGGACGAGCAATGGCGAATGAGAGACGCCCTCAGTGCATCTGCAGCGCAACAGTTTCTGCGTGAAGGAACGGGGGCGGGGCGGGGGGGGCAGTGAGAGTACACTGGCCTGCACAAAAAAGGCAGAAAAAGTGAATAAAAAATGATGAGAGGTGGGAAAGAACCACCGGGGGAGACTGGAAAAGACAGGCGACAGGTGTAAAGCAGCAAGTGGCAGAAGGCTCCCGAGGGCCTGTCCCGTCTGCCATCCTGTCTGCAGTATCTGCTCCTCCGTCCAAGCAAGTGATGTGAGAAATCCCCTCCGCCTTCTTTCCCGTGTGACAGAACCTTGTGCTCCGACCGCCTACAATGCATCTGTATTTCCTACTGTCAGCAAACGCTTTGGAGAAGCCTTCAATGCTCTCCATCTCATTCTTAAAAATGTTACTCTTACGACCCCTCAGACTCAATAAGGGGAGCAAATAATTTGTTGTCTAAACCGGGCACCCATAAACAAGGGGGCGGGGGTGCTGCTAAAAACAACGTAAAGGCAGCATACGTAAACTGGGACCCCCCAGGGAATCCAGGACAGATAAGTTTTAAATCCACTTCCCCTTCTAGATACCATTAAAACAGAGCAGGATTCAGCCTCCAGGGAGGACATGGACGGCCAAATGGCTGTCATCCCCGAAAGCGGTTAGCCTTGGCCGCCCTCATCCTCAGTCTCTCACTGAAGTCAGGTCACAGTGTTTCCTCAAAGCAGAGGGCCGAGCTTCTGCAGTAACCTTGCGGCCTCTCTCAGCAGCGCCCGAGTAACCCGATGGCCCCCAATTACAAGCAGGGCTTGGGAAGGCCCTGCTAATTCCTAACTTAGGCTTCTTCCTATGTAAAACCATTTAATAGACTGTCAGATCAAAGCCTTTGAAAACAGACTGAAAACTGTTTGGAACGGGCATTAAAAAGCCCCCTCCCCACACCAGTTTCTCCCCACCTCTCCGTCTCCCTCAGTGAGGGCCCCACATTCCCAGGTGGGGAGCCCAGCTGAGTCCTTGGCAACGCTCTCGCAGCCTGCATCTGTTAGTGGATCCTGTTAACGCTGCCCCGAAATACATCCGGAGCGCGCCTCCCTCCTCCATGTCATCAGACGCACAAACTAAGAAAGGAGCCCTCAGGCGAATGGACGTCTAGACTTACTTGTCGTTTTTAATATGCTCGTAAAGGCGCTTAAACTGGCGGACCTGGAAGGACAAGATGCCCATCAGTACCACGACCATCAGTAAGAACGGATAAATCCGCCGGTGGACCAGATTTTGCATTTCCGCAGTAACACCTGTAAAACCAGAAAAGGACACCCCTAAGTGCACGTGGAACAGCGGTGCAGTGAACGCACGTCCTTCCGCTGAGGAGAGGGGACCGGATGCAGGGCTCAGGAAATGGAGTGAGGCAGCGGGGAGGTCACGCTGGAGCTGCGCCGGCCACGTCCAGGAGCCGGTTACGTGTCGAAGCCACAGAGGAAATGACAAAAGGAGGTTCACTGAAGAGAAACGAGACTCATTCTTCTACAAAGACACCAGGGCCACAGCGTGGAGAATGAATCAGTGGTTAAAGCAGGGACGTCACACGGGAGGCTGCGGGCGCCAGGTGAGAGACCGTGTGTGCCTCAGCGGGCGCCAGCGGCCAGGGCGCCGGAGGTCGGGTCGGGGGATCTGGACGCCACTTGAGTGTGGATAGCAGAGAGCCTTGGGTGACGGGGATGACCTCCGAGGTTTCTGACTCGTGCGGCTTGCTGGATGATAATGCTGGTCACAGAGGGGATTCAGGAGAAGAGAGATTTGGAGAGGGAAACTCTGTCCTTATCACTTTAAACACATGCTGTGTTTAAGGTCCTGTGAGGGTTCTTCGGAACAAAACTGATCATTTCTAGTTGCTAAAATGTCACAAATTAGCATCTCCTCTTTGGTTTCCTTTTATGCTAAAGAACATTTTTTAAATTAATTGTAACACTTTTCCTTAGTTTTGTAAGCATCTGACCACAGCGCCTCTAGTCAGGAGAAAACATCGGGGAGGAAATCTATTTCTGCCTGTTTGGGGGAGAGTTTGATGTCAGTGCTTTCCCACCTGCCTAGAGAGAAATCTGCACCCCAGGGCTGTATGAGCCTCTTAATCCTGCCCTGAGTGGTCAAATCTAAGAAAAAGTCTCTTAGCTGGACTTACATTTACATGTAAAGCATTTGTGATACCGGAAGTGACAATAATGTAACAACGTCTATAAAGGAGCTCTCTCGGGCCCCCCAGCCAGCGTTACCCACCTAGTAAAGGGACGATGCCGGACGCTATGACGTACGGTACACACAGGGAAAGCAAGAGCACGGAGATCACAGGCGCTGCCAATTTGCGAATGATATAGTGAAGGTCAATGTTCCGGATGCCATTTGCGTAAACCTGAAAAACAAGGGAAAATATCAGAACAAGGGTACGGGACAAATTCCTCCCGGTTGACACAGCAATCTCTACGAGCAGAAGCTGCAAGAGACTGAGTCCCCCAGCCCCAGAGGATTCACGCTGGTTATTTTTCCTGAAGACAGGGCAAGTTCTGGAACACATGCACACGGTGCCCACGAGTTTTTAAAGAAATGCATTTCCTCTTTACTACATAAGACACTAATGCGGAATCATCAGTACAGTAGCCTTTCACGATACAGTACCAGATGGAGCCCAGTCATGTTAGTTTAACACCACATTACACTTCCCAAGAGTCATTGGGAGTACCACTCGAGACTGCATTCATGTTTCTGAATACAGGAAAACATTATAAACAGAAAACATGTTTCCGAAAACCTGGCATAAATCGAATTTTAACAAACCAAAAGGTATTTTATGTAAAAATTTAATACAAAAGAATTCTAGTGAATTTTGTTTTAATTAAAGAATTTCTAGAGTATTTGCATTAGCTTATCCAGAAAGTTCTATGGATAGTACTGCAGAGAAAAGAATGGATGGAAGTGGGAAAACCTTGGGAAAGACGGACACTAAAGATGGGCAGAGGAGGCTGCTCTTGCTTCTCCCCAGCACTCCGACCTCGCCTGGCCCAGTCACTCCTCGTGCTCTGCGACGTGCCCGACAGGGATCTGGCCAGAGCATTCGGATGTGAATGACAAAAAAGCTTAACCCCCCCAAATCCGTTTCTGACCCCAAAGAAACCTCGTTAACTCCAAAGCGCTCAGTCTTGCGGCAAGGGGTCCCAGTGTTTCTCAACCATTTTTACTTAAACTTACACGCACGTATGAGGAAAGAATGCATCAGAGAGCAAAATATTACAAAGATCAACAACGTTCACAGCTTCCAGCTGTGATGAAACCCTTATTCTCCACACTGCCCTGCAAGGGAGCCTCCCTGGAGCCTCCAGAGTGGAGTGGCCTGCAGTGCCATCACGAGCGGGTACGGTGCCACGTGCCCACGACCCAGCTCGCTTCGCTGTCTCACAGTCAGCCCGCACTTGAGAGGCGCATGCAAACCCGCAGTTCCCCTGGCTCCCACCCAAAACTCTCCAGGTACAGGAAGTTTTTTCACCGTTTTCTTGTGTTGATTGGGCTGAAAACTTCAAGGTTATCATCACATCGACCAAATTATCTGATGGCTCCATAATACGATAATACTCTTAGGTGCTACATAGCTAGAATAGTCCTAAAAAGTTCTAAAAGAAAAGCTTTTTCTTTTATTTATTGCCTTGAACAATAACTTTTTTCTCTACCACAGGTTTAGAAAGCTAAGAAGCCTCCATCAGAACTCCTGCCCTGAGAAGCACGTATGCTGACTTTTGCCTTAACCTTGGACAGGGTTCCAGGAACTCTAAGCTACTGGTTAACCTTCAGGTAAGGAAGTCTTAAGAGTGGTCGATGCAAATTCATGGTGATAAAAGAGCAAACTGCCTTCTACAAAAAAAATGTTATGCTCATTAAAGAACATGTAGAAAAATGGAAATATGTAAAAAGAGTCTATACCTATTACTCCCAGTCTTTTTCTGAAAACTGATCTTACTTACCTGCTCAATTACAGTTTTCAGCCACCACTGAGGACCCATCAATGTTATAGCTGCAATGATTTTGGCATGCAGGACTCCAAGTGCCCAGTCCTAGGGTAATAAAAAACATTTAACAGATTTTTGTTGTTGTTTTTAGCAAAAAAAAAACCAAAAAACAAAAAACAATACAGAGGTTATGTAGTAATTTTCTTAAATCCTGCAGGATCAGTAACAGTTTTACAGAAGACTAACACATGCTATAAAACCCAGGGAATGTTTTTCCTCTACAGCTCAAGTTCAATGTTTCTACCAAAAAAAATCACTCTTGACTCTTTCAGAAATCTACACTATTTTCTCAAGAGAAGTGAGAAAAGTGCGGACATTAAAGGAGATCTCAAGGAGCAAATAAATACAATAATGACAGGGTTTTATTTTATCAAAACATCTTTAGGCTGTTTTATTGGTTTCGGTTGAGCTGACTGTATCAAAATAAGATGGTGGAGCCATGTTTGGCCTAAAGAAACCATACCAAAGGCTCAGAGAGAACTTGCAGCTTGGTGCAGTCAGTCTGGGGCACTTGGTGAGAAGGTCTTATTGTAGGATTTCAGTTTGCATGAGGTGATCTGGGGAGGACTCACGGAAGCAGTGCTTTGCTCTGTGTCAGATGCTACTAGAAAGAGGGGGCTATCTGTAACTGGGGATCTCAATAAACCTTATCCAGAAGAGGGACAGAGTAAAGCTAAAACTGTGCTGGTGGTCTACGCCCACGCCACCCTGAACGTGCCCGATCGCATCTGACCTTGGAAGCTAAGCAGGGTCAGGCCTGGTTAGTACTTGCATGGGAGACCACCTAGGAAGACCAGGTGCTGTAGTTTTTTTTTAAAAAAAAAACTGTACTGGTAAATGAAGCAGCAGCCAATCATGTTTGCTAGGACAGAGGGAGACTGGTCATTTTTGTGGTATGGAGAATATTCATGTTTTGCTGGGTTCAGGCATGATTATATAGTGTGTGTGAGTGTGTGGTGGGGGAGGGGGTGTTTTGTCTTGATCTACCATGGTCACAGAGTGGCCCTGTTTAATGCTGATGTTCTGTGAAATTGTTTATGCCCAGCGAGAGAACGCCAAGGCCCAGCTGACAATGCCAGGCCAGCTCCTGGACGTAAAAGCTGCTCTTTTTCGGTGCTGCATATTGCATAAGATCAGGAGGCACACTGATTTTGCATTTGTAGTGATCACTGGGTTAACGCAGAATTCACCTGATCCCTCCACTGTAAATCTGTATGCTTCCCTTTGAGACTGTCAAGTGATCTGTAAGGTGACACTCTGCCACCAAGCAAATAATCAATTCTGGATTGTCGTGGTGTCAAAGGAGGTATACGTCTCCTTCCTTTGAGTCTGGGCCAATCTCTGACACTTGCCTGTGCCTAGTAGGACACAGTGAAAAGCGAGGCTGTAGGACTTGAGATGAGGCCATAAAAGGCAGGGCAGCTTCGTCTTGTCTCCTGGCACACTCATTTCCCTGAGGCGCAGTGTAAGAAACCCAGCTCTCTTGAGGCTCCCAAGCTGTGAGGAAGCCCACATACATCCAGAGGGGCTCCAGCCAACAGCCCTGATGGGGTACAATCAACAACCAGCATTGACCCTCGCAGGTGAGTGATGAAATCTGCAAATGATTCCAGCCACAGTTGTCAAATCATACTCAGCCACTGAGGCTTCCTAGCTGAGGCCCCAGACAACATGGGGCAGAGATGAGCTGATATGCACTATCTTAATTTCTGACTCAGACTCTTTGGACAAAATAAAGGTTGTCTTAAGCCACTAATTATGAGGTAACTAAAGACCCATCAACTTTTACCTGATAGGTTCAGCATCCACTGATAATCCTTGCTAGAATCAATTATGCTGTTAGCTATTGCAAAATAGTGATTTTATAATTCTGTTAATCCTTTACCTTTATTAGCTGGCATTATTCTGTAAAAAATACCTTTCCTTCAATCACTGTTGCTATCTGACTATATTGCAATACAGCTCTTACAGACAAGCACCATCATTATTTCCCTTTCTATTCACTTTCTCTCTAACCCTCACCTATGAGCACACTGGGTTACAGGGAGTTCCCTATACGCGCATCTTCTGGCTCACCGTGAGGCCGCCCACTCGCTCCTTCCTAGAACACACTTTTCTTTCGTTCTCACCCATTCCTTTCCACTCTCTACTAGGTTGTTCTAGAACTATCCCCTACAGAAAACCATTATCTGAAATTCCCGAAGCTGGTTAAGCACCTCTCCTGCATGATGTCACAGCTCCTTGTACTCGCACGGTCTACCTGTGTCCTCGTCTATCTCTCCCACCAGCCTGACCCTCGAGAAGCTCCTGCATTAGCTTCATTCCCATCTGAGTTATGCAGCACAGGGTTTTGGCACAAATTAAAGCTTTAACTCAAGTAAACATTTGCTATTAAATAAGGTTTGTAGAGGTTCTTTATCTAGGAAATAGAGGAAAGAAAACATGTACCAAATAATTTCCATTTTCGGAAAATCCACTGTAATATATTAAGAAAAGCTCGAGCGAGGCTGAAAAGCCTTTGAGAGCCTGAAGTCAATGCCTAGTCCTTTCTCCTGATACTGCTGAAGAGCTTCAGGCCTTTGACATTAACTTTGGGCCCAAGTACCACAGAAAAGTTAAATTTCTTTTTCCAAAAGCTTTAGGATCTTTGCTGTGACACACATAGGTTCTCTCAAAATGCTCTTTTAAATAAGCCCTAAGACTTTGTGAGATAACGTGCTATAATTATTCAAAAATATAAGTTACTGCTTAATGTCTCAAAGCCAAAGGAGCAAGCTATTGTACCCTAACTAAAAGATGAAAAGATCAACATATATTAGCTTGTATCTTTAAATACTGGTGAAGCCAAAGCAAATAGTGAGTGATGTTTTAATCTATAAAACAGAGTCTAAGGGACTTACGTGACCTGCATACTTGGAAAACCATATATTAAAATGCATTATTTAATTGATTTTACAAAGGTTCTTGGAAGAGAAAAAATTAAGGAGTCTTTCTAAACAAACTGCTTAAGATCACTTTTTAAAAATAAGGATTTTTCTGACACTCAGTCTGTTAAGAAATATCATTAGCAAAAGACACGCACTTACCTGCCATGGGTAAAAAAGAGGGGTCTGATCCAAGGGCACCCTCAGGGGAGCAACGATAACCAGCTCGAACAGGAGCCCCAGGAGCAGCGGGACGACGCCCGCCAGCAGCACCGCAACTATCAGCGTCTTCATTATCTGTTAGGAAGCAGGAGCCGTGTCATTAGAGTCCCACTTCTAGTCCCGCTTCTTTGTTCTATTTGGAAGTTTCTTTTTCTTTGACTTATGTCTAACAGAACGAATATATTACCTTATCCGACTGACTCACACTTTATGTTACATGTTTACAAGAGATCTGAATAGCTACAAAAGTTCGAGCTACAATGAAAACATGATATTACTATGCATTGCCTGCTACAAAATTACAGAAATTTCATTTTATTACATATATTAACCAGGTGGCTGTGCTGTATTTCTCAACCACATTCCCAGGATTAGGATTCTGTTTGTCTAAGCTACGGATTGTCCCAGGCCCCTGATCCAATGATGACCCTCCCACAAGCTAACCTGTGACCCCTGAGGTGGACGGGTATAGAAGGGCTCCTCCGCATAGCACTAATTAAGGTAATTAATCAAGCTGATCAAACTGCCTCCCTCTAGAACACTGTGGTCCAATAAAGTACACACAAAGAGAAAAGAAGAGATAGCGTCAAAGAGCCACTATGAAATCCTGACAGAGGAACCAGTCTTCAAAAGCGGCCCTGGTGTCGAATGCCCTCCCATTCCCTGAGGAAGCCTCAGTGAGTACATCTGCTTCGGCAGCAAGGGACTAATATGGTGTGCACGAGGATGCAGCACCTGCTCCCTTACAGGGTAATCTGGTGATGAGAAAGGACAGCTAATGAAAACTGGATTTAGCTGTTCTCTGTATCTGAAATAGAGCTGTCTTATCATCTTACACATCAAATAACAATTAAACCCCTCCACTCATAATATACAATGACTCTCTCAAGTTTTTTCTTTCAACATTAGTAATTAAATGGATTCTAAACTTCCAGTGAATTTAAAATATAAATCCAGATACAAAACCAGAGTTGATTATACCAATGAAAAGGCGTAAGCCGTTACCTAAACAAACTTACCAGTCATGGCCAACGTTACGATCAACCAATAAATCGCCATACTTGGACCATCATCTTACAGTGACGATTTCCCCCAACCTTTGTGGCAATTAAGCTATTTATTGAGAATAAAAATTTCCAGTACTTACTACACTTTCACATTAGCCAAGATAGTTCTTGAATTAGCAATGTACTGTGTAATTAAAGGAATCCCATTTAAATCAAACACCCTGACTTGATCCTAAAGTCAAGATTTTACAGATTCAAATGGATCAAAAAATCAAATTGTGGAAAAAAATATCATTAAAAGAAATAATACTTAAAAAAACTGATTTTAAACTCTACAGAATATCTTATTCCTTAAAAATGTAACCAATCTTCAAAATAAGTTTTCTAATTATATTATTCGAGAACCTTCCTGGGTCACTTAAGAATATGATTTTCTTTTGTCTCTCAAATACATTTGACTGTGGTTCTCAGAATTAATGAAAAAGCCACTGTCTTAAAGGAACAGTCCTTCTAATTCAAAAAGTCAACTCTCTTGACACCATCGGCATAATGAAGAAACAAGTGAAGAGTTAAAGAAATGACTGGAAAAACATCCACTGCTCCTGTCAGATAAGATCTGTCTTTATTAGAAGAACCTACCATGAGGGACCACTCTTTAACCTTCTGGAAGATCACTCTGCGTCCTTGGGGCATCCATGCCACCAGCACCGTCACCGCCCTGATGGTCAGCCAGCAAACATACAGACCACAAGCAGCTGTGTAGAGCTCGTGGATTTTGGCAGTCCCTGTCCAAAATGACATTAACCAGCGGCCGGCAAATACTGAAAATAGAAAGGCTGATAAATGAGACACATGACTACATAGGGAACTGCAATCTTGATATTAATATTGTTCTATTTTCAATCATTTTAAGTGATTAATCAAAAGTGACATATCACAGTTTGATATATCACTGCCTTCATTAAAAGCCAACAAAAACAAACAACCTCCCCCCCCTCCGCCCAAACTCTAAAGAACACAATTATTTAATTAAGATACAAATAAAACACAGCAAGTCACCAGGGACAAGCTCTCCTGAGACATGCGCTCTGACTTGCCATGCCAATTACTTGTTCTTTGAGGGACTGAAAAAACTTGAGGGGGTGGTTGTTTGCACTGTTTTTATCACCAAATGAAATCATTATGCACATAATAGCACAAAAGTAGAAAATTTATTTTCTATTATTCATGCTATTAATACTTTTAATATTTACAAATAATTTAGAATTTTCTTTCAATTGAGTTGTTCGTCAAGACAGAAAACGCTTATTTTAATAAGAAGTGGGCACAATACCATTTTAAAGCACAATAACTGAAGAATATCATATTAATCTTCTTGAAAAAGTTAGGATCTAAATATATGAAACTTGGGAAATAGATTTTAAAGCTAAGAGATTGCCTCACACAGAGTTATTACAAATAAATTTTATAATACAAAAAATCTAACTCTCAGTTAAAATTGTTTATTAAGTAACTTTCTTTACATGGTTACTTCTCAATAAGGCTACAGATAATGACGAGACCCAAATTTCCAGTGCATTTTCCTATGAACTGATTTCTCTTTAATACAGGACTATCTGTTATTTTTGAATACCTAAAAGGAGCTAGTGGTTGTCCTGACCGCATTCCATATATTATTTCATTAATCCTCCCCACAACCCCCCAACGTAGCTACTACCTGCATTTTTTTCAATATGGTTAACATTTAATATTATTTTTTATGTTTCAAGTGAACAGCATAAAGATTAGACATTTATATAATTTACACAGTGATCCCCCTAACTAGTCTAGTAATCACCTGGCACCATATGTGTAGCTATTACAATACTAACTATATTTCCTATGCGGTATTTTACGTCCCCTTGACTATTTTGTAACTACCAATTTGTACTTCTAAATCCCCTCACCATTTTCACCGAGCCCCCCACTACCTTCATTCTGAAGATTAAGAAACCAAGGCTTGGCAACGGGAGCTCGCCCAATCAAGATCACACAAGGGTGGAGGCTGAATTTGAACTCATGTCTACATGACGAAGCTCATGCCCTTGACCACTGAAACCACACTGCCTCCAATCAAACTAAACCAGCTAAACTGTCAAGTCTTACAGGACATAATGCTGATAAACACAGACTTCGTTGCAGCCTTACAAAATAGCGTGGGTGCAAAGATAATTTCATGTTTAAAGACAAGTACATGTAAATGTTCTATGACAAACACATGTGTTTGTTAATTTGAAGATATAAAAATCATCACTGATAATTCTGTAGAAATGTCTAGTGTCATACACACATACTCTGTCTCTCTCCAAGGTTTTATTAGTTTTCGTTCGGTTGGTTAACTTTTAAAATTTAAAGACCACTTTCTATTCTATAATTCATATACTTCCAATCAAAAGCATTTTCGAGAGGACAGGGTTAGGTTTTAGTTTGTAGTAACTTATCAGTTAAATTGTAGCTACAGAAAAGTAACCATCGGGGAAAACAGCACCCTCACTCCCTTAAATGTGTACTGTACCACTCGGCATTTCTATGATTAAACATAACACATTCTTTCCACCAGACTGTGGGACTGGGTTAACAGGGAAATATTTGCTTAGCAATCCTCAGTGAAATTAAAAGTAGTTTTATTGCCAAATTCAAGTACTAAAACAAAGTTTCCTTCTTTTGTTAACTTTTTCTTAATATTTCTGATAAAAACATGAAAATAGAACATAAAAACCATAGGTGTAAAACTGTCCGAAGTTCAAAAACTAAGTTTTTCCAGCAATATGTTTACTACATTGCCCCAACAGTTAATTAAACTTCATCATTTTAACAGCTGTGAGTGATGAGCTTAAGGGCAAAATTCTAAAGGTAAAATTATTGTGCAGAAACAGTTAAAAAAAAAAAAATCTTTATCTTTACTAATTTAAGGTAAATCACAATTCCTACAGATTCGAATTTTCTTTTAGAAACCATGCTTGAAATTAAAATTTTCAAGCTGCTCCTTCCTATCTTAGCCTTCATGGAAAAACTCAAGCACTTAATACAAATTTGATTTATAAAATTATATTGAATTAATATTACAATCAAGACTAAATATATGTTTATATGCTTTATAAAAGCTCAAAATTAGCTTCCGCTTAACGATTATTTAAGTGGCGAGCGCATATCAGTGTGACTTGGAATTTTCTGGCTCACTATAAACATTAACGGGGAGGGTGGGGGCAGCAAGCTGCTCCTGTCACTTTGTCACTAGCTTTGGATTCCAACCCCATTTACCCACGCTCTCTGAAGAGGGCGACAAACTACTATATTCATTCACAGCTTATTTGTTAGATTAAGAAACATTGTTTAACTGAAATTTAAAGATGAATACTTGTGAATACCAGATGACAAAACAAAACCATCTGGCTTCACAAAGGTCTCCAAGAACAGCCATGCAATGGACTGGAACAATAACAACACAATAAGGACAACAAATTAGCACCAAAAGACTGGCTTGAAAAAATGACTTTAGCCACAAAGATGACTTTCTGAAAACCCACACCGTAATAAGGCCATGTCCAAGAAAACTGAATGGCCACAGTACTTTATTTCCAAAACCGAATCATAAATTGTATCTTGACTTTGTCCCCCTCTGCTCCAATGCAGAGGAATCCAGTGGGATGGAGACCCAACCCTAAATGGATCGACATCCCAAATTCGATCAGAAATGAGGGGGAAACAATTTCAAGTGTACATCTGATGGAAGATCACATCTCGGCAAGATACGCCCTTTTACAACAAAGCACCTGCTCATGATGTCACTAGCGAAGAGCGAGGATACGGTCCTACCTGGTAGAGTAAGGCAGATGAGGCTGGCGATCAGTAAGGTTATACACATGAAGACAATCAACAAAAATATCTGCAAGGCAAAACGTGAGAGTGCGTGAGCGGCTCACGGGGGCTCCATGCATTTTGACACCCTTCAAAGAATCAACACAATTCTCCCCGTAAGAACAAGTGGTCTGTGTTGGTATTTCTAGGTTTCCTTCCATTTTACATAAAAAAGAAATTTTTTATTTTCGTTAAAATTACCTATAATTTTGGCCCCCCAAAAAAGTCCATTTTCACATAACCAAATACATCAACAAGTAACAGGTAAATAAATAAAACTATTCACTTTTTTATCAAATTCTCAAAAACAACTTTTTGTGAAGGGAAAGCGTACTCTAACAGTACTGTCCAGTCAGAACTTTCTGTGATGATGGACACGTCTACGTCTGCACTGCCGGACAAAGGGGCCACTGGCACATGAGGCCACCAAGCACTTGACATGGGGTCAGTGTGCTTTATTTCCAAAACCGAATCATAAATTGTATCTTGACTTTGTCCGAGTAATGGAATTTTAAACTGTATTTACTCTGTGTGTGTTGCAAAAAATACAAGAAATGTATTTTCTTTCAGCTTTATGGCGGTGTGGCTGACAAGTAAAACTGATATATTTCAAGTGTACACCACGACCTGATGCGCGTGCACGCTGTGAGGAAACTCCGGCGTGGAGATACCACGCACACCTATCACCCCGCATATTTACAACCTCTATTTACTTTTAATTAAATGTAAGTGAAAGACAGCTAGCGGCAGCCACTGGCTCCTGCGCTGAGAAGAGAAAAGGACCCGCTGAGAGGGGAGGGAAGCGGCTAGCCCGGGCAGGAAGGGAGCCGATGCTTGCCTCCTGCCTGACCAGGCCCGGGTGAGGGCAGCTCTCTGGGGGGAGACAGAAAAGGACAGAGGAGACCGCTCCGGGAGGAGGGGGTGAGCTCTGTCAGCTTTCACTGCTCGAGGAACCCACTGATGACTCTCTGATCTGGGCCAGAAGTTCTTCTTGCCAACCAAGAGCCTCACCTCGCCCAGCTCCTCCTCACCTCTTACTATAAATACCCCTCTTTCCCAGCTCCCCCATCTCCCACCACTCACCCACACGCACCCCACCCTCTAGATACATTCAGCTCAAATTTTAAATTAAATGCCTGCGGTTCCCGATCTCCCCTGCCTCCCCTGCCTCCCCTGCCTCCCGGCCTGGCATGTGCCTGGAACGCCCTTCCTATTCTTCCTCTGTCTCTGCCTGGCCTCCTGGCTTTAAAGGCTTAGATCAGGCATCACCTCCACGAAGATTCCTGAACACCTTCTAAAAAAGTATTCCGTGGAACAAGGAGTGACCAGTTGTGTCACATGCCACTCATACAGCAAGCATGACGAGGACCAAGACCCGACCATCAGATTTAACAACACGATGGTCGCTGGTGACCCTGGTCAGGGGAGAAAGTCTCACTAGGACAGGCTCTTCCTTAACCAATCTGGTTTGCAGTTTCATCAGCTATAAACAAGATTAGCGTTCATGCCTTGCAGTTTGTGAATGGGAATTAAATGGGAGAAAACATGAAAAAGCCCACTCCAGGTCCTGACACATAGTTGAGATGTGTCGACAATGTTAACTGCTTATTTGCTCTAGTCTTTCACATCATCGGTCCTTTCAAACAGCACGGAGCAGCAGCATGGAATCCCAATGCCACGACCCATCTCTAAAATCTGATCAACGTATCCGACATTAACGTATATTATGCTGCATAATGAGAGCACCAAAACACGAACTCTTGTCAGGAGACTGTAAGACAAGTCTACACAGAGGACCATGTGCTAACAGCAACAATAACAGCACCAAAATCTCTCAATAGAAATTTGGAAACGACTGGCTTCTGGTTAAGTCTGTACAACACCTACCCTGAGTGGAAAATGTAAAGGCCGGCGGTAAGGCTGAAAGCCAATGGGCCCCCCCTGCTGGAGGATGGCCTGGTGGGCGGCATGCAGGCCTTCCCCCACCACGGGGACGGCGTTGTTATTCCGAGCGTGCTGGTTGTTGTTAACTTGCTGGTTTGCACTATTCTCGTTTTCTTCCTGGTCTCCCAATAAATAGGAATGAAGATCCCTATGTAAAAATTACATCAGTGAAAATTCTTACTTCGGAGCAGAAGAAAACAGCAGACATGAGATTTACTTTCTTAATAATTATTATTTAGGGTAGAAAACATACAAATAGAATCTCTACACAGCACTATTACCTCAACCAGGTCTAAACGTTGGAAGCTGCTTTACATAAAGCCTTCCCAAATTAATGTTAACTAACGTAGAGAATACTCCATAAATTCAACCTATTTTGTGTTTTCTTCAGCCAGTATCTGAGAAGAAATCAGCAATTGGAAAAAATAAAAAGTACAATGTACAAGAAACTCTATCTGAAGATCCTAAGAAAAACGACTTCTTTTCTTCTCTATAGATGGCTGTGTCTCCTGTGACATGTATCTCATCTAAAACCTCCAACCCAAATCACTTGAGGCACAAGTGAGTTAATGGGTGGAGGCTCACAGCGGGGCCGTTAGAGAGGATAAATGACCAAATACAAACAAACACACGTCACATTACGGTGTCTACAGGATGCCGTATATTTTCTGAAAAAATGTTTAAATCACAAAGATTCATTCAACTTTTAAATAAGTATGTAACACATAAAGCTTGAAAAAATAAATGCAATGTGCTGACTAAATGACTAAGAAACCCAACCTGAGAAGAGCTCATATTAGGTTAAAACTTCTAAAAAAAAAAAGGGTAAGTTGGTTTGTTTTTAATACACTAAAAATTTTTATGTTTACCTTGTATAAGAAAATAAAAGAACCTGGCCAGCAACACACTTTCATAAGAGGGTAAAAACACGCATACTTTCTCCAAAAGGATGCACGATGATTAGAAAACATTAAAATTTTTGAGAAATTAAGTATATATATACCTGCAGATATCACTAAATTGTCTCTTATTAAAACTAATTTTTCTGAGTGGAACATGGAACGTATTTTTCAGAAAGGCTATTACACTGGCACATGACGTGCCTACCAGTCACCTGCCTGTACTTACAGCAAGTATCCAGCAGTAACAGTCCACGCTCGCACAAGCCCCTTCAGCCACTGTCGCGTGTGTCCCTGCTCAAGTAACGCTGGCAAAACAACCTGAAGCAGAAGCAGCTCAAGGGACAGTTCGCTCACCGGAGCATCGCTAGGCAATGACAAAGAGCCATAATTTACACTGCGAATTGTTTTCCATTATAACCGTATCACGTTAAATATTTAATGGGATGACAGCAAAACTCCTTGAAGAGTCGAATGAACCCATGGTCTTCCGTGCCTCTCCTCCACTCTCTGGAAGCCAGCAAGGCTTCCACATGTGATCCACAAAACGTTCGGACAAGGACTACCCATGACCTTCACGTGGTTAAACCCAAAAGTCAGGTCTCGGCCCTCGCCTCACTTGCTCTACTAGTGGCATGCTACACAACTGGTTGCTCCTGGCTCCCCAAAACACCTTCTCCTTGAACGCCTTCCCAAGGCTCGGTCCCCTTCATCATCCTGACCCAGATGACAGCATGTAGATTATGGAGGAAGGGGCACAGGGTTAAGGATGGACTATAAATGGAGAACTGAGGAAGGCCCAAACCACGGAACTAAGCAGTAAATCGAGTTGGAGCAGATAAGAGATCTTACAGAACTAAGCTGACAAGATTTAAAGATTAATTAGAAGGAAAATTGAGGAAGAAATCCAATTTGCCTGGCAGATTTCTGGTTTAGGTGACTGAATGGATAATGCAAATCCCTGAAAAAGGAAATACAGAAGAGACGAGATATCCAGGTGACTTAAGTTTTTAAATCGAAGTAGGTTTTCTGTCTATACGTCTTATATCTTATTTTTAATCCATAATTAAGTGTGCAACAATGGCCATATCCTTTGCGATGTGAGTTTTGTATAAAGACAATGCTACTAACACACTCTTTAGGTACAGTAAATGTTTCATCGCTGAACAATAAACTTCATTTGCAGAAAAATAAAAGCCTGTCCTCCTTTGGAAAAAGTAACTGCTACACTAATGTTTAGGTGACATGACAAAATTTAACCATCAGATGATTTCCAATATCTATAAGAAATGAACGTTCTGAATGTATGTGCTATGACTGTCAAATCTCTAACAGCCAAATTCGTAAAGCTTCCAGATGTCGAAAACTTACCTGTAGAGCATGACATTGTACGGGAGAAAACTGGGCAGCAGACTCTTAATTATACGTATAGGAAGCCAAAGCATCAGGAGGACAATGGAGCCAAAGACAATCTGCAGCGACAAAAAGGGTGCGACACCATGGCAAACCACTCCCGTGAGACGCAGGCCAACTCCTGAACGAACTCAGCTAACAGCCATCCAAGGCTCCGTGTTCTCACGTGACACAACAAACTTGGGTCGCTCCACGTAAAGAATTCGTCCCTGGGACGGCTACCCGCCTCTCTCTCTAGGACCCGAGGGCTCTAGCAGGAGCCACAAAAGATAATCCTTGCATGGTATGTGAGGAGAGAGCTCGAAACTCAAAATGGACGATCAGAACCATCTGCAACTTACTAAACCACCTGTAATCATTATAAGACGTGACCCGCATGAATGGCTACGAAGGTTTCCAAAGAGTGAAATGCCGCTTTTAGAATTTTTTTTGGAAGCATTTAGCTTTAACTAGGAAATTTCTTCTTCCAGGCAGGGAAAAAACTTTTGAGATCCTTCTGTTAAGAGTTTAATTTAGAAGGTATGAACGAGTCACCATTGCTTTAATATAAATTAAGTGTAATTCAGAAAGTCATAACTTGGCAATCAATTATACTACTAAAGTAATGAAAGACATTTTTGTTTTAGTGAACATTTTATTTACTTTATCAAAATAACCAATAAAATAGCTACTTAACAACCAAGTTCCACAGGCTTAGATAAACATAAATTATTCGATCTACTCTACCAGTACCCAATTAAAATAAATAAGTCTAAAGCGTAGCACACTTTACATCGAAAGCAACAAAAAGGTATGCTCACCACTGACAAAATGAATCTCCGGAGATGCCTATAGATAGGCAGGTGGATCATTTCTTGTACTGGATTAAAATCTGGATCATTCAGATTCCTCAGAAACCACAAGACACCAGGTCGAAGCACCTGTGAACGCATTTTAAAAGCTATAAATGCTAATGTCATCAAGGCTGCACATGAGCTAAAACACTAACAGAAAAATAAGGTCTTAAACTTATTTTGGCATCTTATAAAACGGGCCCCAGAAAATTCAGATGGCTTTCCTGGGGGGAAAAAAGAGTTCCTAAATCAGAATCTTTGTGAAAACTATCCTGTGTTTGATGTCCTTTGATGCTTTTAATAATGTAATGGGAAAAAAAAAGTAAGGCAGCTTGTCAAATCTAGAACGAGATTAAAAATAAATGTTTTTAAATTGTCACTATATTGAAACATCTAGTGAAAGAATTAGGTTGCAATTTATAAATGTTCTAAGTAGAAGATCTGATTTCAATCTTAAACTCCTGAGAGGAGTTACCTTTATTAAGAAACCGTACAGCTTCTCAGTACATATCTTCGTTTTATTGCCCACATCTTTTTTCTGTCAGTGGAAATCATCCACCCAGGAGACTGTGGGTGATGGGGTGATCGATGGTCTGGGTATTAGCCCTGGGTGGTCCAAACTCACTGAGTCACCCTATATAAAGCATCTCATTTGCCCAAACTCTATTTCTCCTATTCCAAATGAGAAAATTATAATATATGACCTCTAAGGTCCAATCTAACTCACAAATAATAGGATTATCAACATAAGAAAACTACCCAGAGAAACTGAAAAAATTCAGTATAAAACATTTTATCACTTAATAATGTAATTTAGAGGTCATATATAATTATAATGTTTAAAAAACACATTATTAATGTGGTCTCAATCACTTGTTTCAGAGAAAGAGCACAAGCTTTATTTATAAACAGAATTTACTGAACTTGCAAGATACGATTCAGGAGAGCATGCTGGCCCCCAGCCCCTCCCACCTCCTCAAATCTCCCAGGCGCCGCGGCATTAAGCCTCTGTGCTTTCTCATCCCCGCATGCTGGATCCGACCGCTCCTTCAGGCACTGCTGCCTCCATCACCGTTCGCTCTCAGAGGGTGAGCTGAGTTGCTCCACGGCTGAATTCCTTCCAGGGAGGTGAAATCCAGGAGCGTGGGAATGGTGAATGTGTGTCTCACCATTACCGCAGCAGACGGCACAGCGACTGACAGAGTGAGCGGGCACGTGCGAGTACACTTAGCAGACACTCAGTTTCACACTCCCTGTTGCACCAGGGTGACTGGGCATGAGACGTACACTAATCAAATACTGACCCCACTTTCGCCGTCTTCATATCAGTAAGAACTAGTAAAGGACCCACCCGGCAAGTGCGCTGGCATCACAAAGGACCCGTGCTCTGCTTCTACGCTTCCCACGCCTGCTTCAAGACCATTTTACACAGACGGGTCACTGCAGTATCATGACCTTAGGGTATTTCCGGCATTATGTCTCCTTGAATAAAGTCCAGGACAGGCTCACAGCACAGTAAAACAAGTGCCTTTACTGAATTTTTCCCCTCAGCCTACTCACCTTTCGAACTCGTAACTCATTATAGACAGAATATTAAAATCTAAATTCGTCTATCAGTTATTCCCTCTTAGAATAAAATGGCAGAGAAGATGACTTAGTGAGGAAACCACAGTAACTTCTGAGGCACGATCTGCACGGTGTCAGCGCTGCCCTGCGGAACTCACCTCTCGCAGCAGCAGAATAAAGGAGGCGAAGTAGAACACGTAGACCATTCCCACCAGCCAGTGCAGGAACATCGTGGTCCCCGGAGCCGACTGGAAGCTCAGTTCCCGGTCTCTCAGCGTAGCATCGAACATTTCCTAATCAAAACCAACGGGTGAGTGCGAGGTGCAGCGCTTACATTTACCAAATAAGCATGTCCATCTTCTAGGAAGTAAGACCGCCGTGCATATAGGTTACGACATTCTAGACTAGTTCTCTTAATGCCATTTCATGGTGTTAGAGAAACAGAAATGATATAAGGTTAGATACTATGTCAAAGATGGATATGACATTAAGAATTGTTTAAATACGAGAAGCAAGACTGATAAACCAAGTGATAAATAAGAGCTTGACCAGTACTACGACTATAAAAGAACCATTTCTGGTTAACATAATACCTTCCTCTCTTGGTTACAAGTTTGCATTCATGATAAGCTTCACAGTAAGATATGGGAGTAATGTTATCTCAGTACCAAAGGCAGCTTTTCTACATACATAATATTTTTGAAAAGTCAAAAACTGATTATCACTGACTTCCATTAAAGATTACAATCAAAACCGAGCATCTTGGTTAAAACAAATAGTTAGGTTTGAATTTATTACTACAAACACAGTCCTCTTATCAGACTACTTTTTATGTATATAATGTGTTGGCATTATTATAAAATTCAGAAGAGTAAAATGAGTAAGAATATTCTCTATTGGTATCAGAAAGGTTCCAGTCAAAATACTGACATCAAAAATCTGCACAAGGCCTCAAAAAAAAGTACTCAAGAAAAATTAGTAACATTGACTCCACAATGTGCATTCTCAGAAAAAAATAAGCAAATTATTATCAAATACTGACTTTCCTTTAAAAGAAACCCATTCTAAAGATGTGTTTTCTGATGCCTTTAGATTATTAGATTGTATGATAATGAATAGTAAACTCACCAGGGAACAGATATCCAGCCACCAGCCACAAATGAGAGGGAACACTCCAATTTCTACCACCACTAGCAAAGAGACCTTAAGTAAAAATAAAGGTCATCAGTATCACCCAAATGGTGACAAGTCATTTCCAGTTTTAACTTGTAGCAGGAATTACCTTAACAACAATGTAGCAGACTCCAAGCAAGCGACGAGACCTATGAAATCTAACAAGAGTTGCCAAGCCCTACAGCATCTAGTCAAGGAAAGACTAAGCATTTCAAGGAACAATAAAACACGCAGTAATTTGGGCAATACTTACTACCACTTGGCAGACAAAATTAATGTAGTTCCTATTTCGCCTGCCCTTATCCTCACTACAAAAACCTACGACTTTCACTAAGAGGACAAGGGGAGAGACAGTCATTAACAGGAACTCTTTGGTATGAATAATATTACTGAAGACCCCAAGTCGGTTCATTAAAGGATACATGACAAATTATCAGTGTTATTGCTAAAAGAATATATCCAACTATGGTTGTGATTAGGCCTTCAAAATGAGATGCTTGGACCTGGAAATAAGAAAAAACAGATAAACTTTAATTGTACCACACGGCCTATCCCCCAGTTGAACAGTGCATTAAACAACCCAAGTGGACTATCAGCGAGCCACCTAGACGATTTATAACTAGAAAACGACCAGAAACATCTCCTTTGGGTGACATCTCTGCAAACCCGATCCTCTCACTGACTGCGATCGATTATGAAAGGTCAAGGAAAAATTAAAGAATAACACTTTATTCAAGCAGACAAAATAAGGGTGAATTAAATTTTACAAAAATCAGGAAAAAAGCAACACAAGAGTCTGTACTGTACTCCATTCCGACGTGGACTTGCTAAAGGCTGAGCGACAAAGGCAGCAGCAGCACACTGCCCAGCTGTCTGCCTACCCAGTGCACCCCAGCCCCTCGCCTCCTACCACTGAAAGTGTCTGAGTTTCCCTAGCTCTCCAAATCTGCCCCATTCTCAACTTACAGAGTAAGAGTTTGGACAGTGACAACAAATACTGCCTATCTTTTTGGTTCCTGAATTTCAGATAGCAAATGGCGATAGTTTGGAAGGTCAGAATTTATCAAAGCTTTTCATGTTCGTGCGTTCATCTAGCAAGAATCTGGAGCTGCATTAAAACCGAAAACAGCTCTGCGCTTTCCGAACACTCCAGAATGTGACCTCTCAGATTCATATGCACACACTGAACAAGTATTTCAGATATGTCAGCTTTCTTAAAAGACGAAATCTTTCTGCCCTCTTCCCCCCAAAATAGTTGTCCACCCAAATATTTATCTACCTCGGAAAAACAATGGAAAAAATGTCGAAATTAAAGCAAATCTTTAGAAAACACTACAGACCATCATTCTAAGACAAACTAATCATTTTTTTAAATTGACTGATATACTGTTACTTTTCTAAATTCAGTAAAGGGGTATCTGGCAAAAAGGTAGAGAAGGGAACACGCAAGTTCACGGGAACACGGAATGGGTCGACAATCAGCCTGCCAGAGAAACTTCCCGTAGCATGCCCCTGGCCCAGCCAGCAGGAAGGATCTCAGAGCCCATCTCCTTAGCTGGCAGCACCCTTTACTGTGTCTTGAGCCATGGTCAGTTTTAAAAGGACAGACAGTGGATAACCATTCCTTTGCATGAGTCAGGTTGTGAAATGAAGTAAGTCTTTACAATATTATTTACTCAACAAACATCAAATTGGGGGTGGGGGGGTGACTAATAAAAGTAAGTTGTAAAAGTATTATACTCACATGTTCTTCAAATCCCAAACCAACAAGGGAGAAATGACCAATGTGGTAAGGGCAAAATGCTAAAAGGGAGGAAAAAACTCAATGAAAACCTCAAAATCAAAACAATGAGTACCACCCTCATACCATCACCCACTAAAAGGAACCTGGGCTTCTTAAAGAAATGGAACATTCCAGAACTGGTGCCAGAAAGGTACCTCCTGGAATATTCCCTATAACTAGAGAACAAAGTTATCAGGGTCTAATAGGCTCATAGCAAAAGGACACAGGAACCACTGTAAAGAGGGTCTCACAGGCCAAAGAAAAGATGATATGGCATTAAAAGAATAATGACCAAAATGGATGGAAACACAACGAACACATACAATCCATGAGTATGATCCTATTGCTCAAAAAGTGGCACGACAAAAACAAAAGGGAAAAAAGCTAAGATAACAGAAAACACTCTGATCACCAGTGAAAGTAGTCAGCGTATCAATTCCTTACCCTGAAAACTAATAATTACAGGGAAAGAACTGTGCATCTGTCCTGCTCCTTCCGAACAAATAAGTTCAGGTTAACTAAATAGCTCTAGTTGATAAAAATAAGTTCTTCTTTACAGAAAAGCCAGCTGATAAATGTAAAAAGTGATAGAATTTGAGAAGAATCATTTTGTAATGCCTAATAAAATAAATAATTTCAGGCGACTATCATCAAGGGATAATAAAATCATTAGGTGAAATGTTGAGGGAACACTATATTTGCGTGATAGTAAAATACCACCCACACAGATTACTTTCTAATGGTTAAGGGGAAAAATAGAAGCTACCAAGAAAGGCTTCAAGATGATATCACTTGAACCGCAGACAAAGGTGGAGAACTAGACATCATCTGCCTGCTGATACGCAGTATTCACAGGCAAACTATGACCAGTGAAGGGTTTGTCTGAAAAGTGCTGAACCTGAATGTAATCAGGCCCTTGATCCACCTTCCAGTTAAAGGAAATATGAAGACAGAAGGGCGAGGCAGCAGACATCA